CCCCCCAGGACTATTGGAGATCAGCTGGGGGAAGCCAAAGCTAGCGGTAATCTGGGAAACACCTTAAAAGTTCTTGGGAATTTTGATGAAGCTGTAGTTTGTTGTCAGCGACACCTAGATATTTCCAGAGAGCTTAATGACAAGGTAATAAGGAATATTACATAGTGGGCCAAATGTTTTATTTGAAATTGCTTTGTGTTTTAATTTTACTTAATTATTCTGTAGTTTATCTAAAAGTTAATACCAATGAAGAAAATATTCATAGAAAAATAGAAGTAAAAAATTTTAAATAGTGGAGAAAAAATAGTAGACATTCTTTCATAAGTAATCATTTATTTGGTTGTATGGATGGCCATCATAAACATTTCTTTCTCTTGACCATCAAGGATAATTATAAATAAATATATGTGATAAGCATTATAATACCTGGCTTCTGATTTCAAAATGTAAACTCTGTTGATATCTTCATCTAGGTGGGAGAAGCAAGAGCACTTTACAATCTTGGAAATGTGTATCATGCCAAAGGGAAAAGTTTTGCCTGCCCTGGTCCTCAAGACATGGGAGAATTTCCAGAAGACGTGAGAAATGCTCTGCAGGCAGCTGTGGATTATTATGAGTAAGTAGCACTGATGCAGTCCTGTGGCCCACCTAAGGCTTGGACCTGCTCTACATTCTTTATCCAGTAATACGTTTTTAAGTTTGGGAAAGGTTTTAGAATTCTGGACTAGCAAGTAAAAATAAACCATCAAATCCGCTGCTAAAATGTTACAGTGTTGGAATAGAGTAATCCCCTCCCCAGGAAAGCTTTCCTTTAAATTGTTAACCGGTGCCACTTAGTGGCAAAAACAAGAAATATCAATCGTTAGTCTAAACTATTTGGAGTAAATTTAGTTTTATCAGTAGAATTTCATAGAACTTCTTAGCTGTAACGGTTCCAAGATTGACTCTGTCCTTAACTCTGGACAGAAACCTGCCTGAATGGTTCAGTAAAGTGTTCCCATTTATTTCCCATAATCATCCTCCATCATACATATACCTCTAAAATTTACACTATGACTGTAAGCTTAGAAATTTTTTTGATAAGAATTTGATTTGTAAATTAAATCAATACATTTTTTTCTCAAACGTGTTTTTTCACAACTTTTGTTATCATTTAGGGAAAACCTATCACTAGTGACTGCTTTGGGTGACCGAGCAGCCCAAGGACGTGCCTTTGGAAATCTTGGAAACACACATTACCTCCTTGGCAACTTCAGGGATGCGGTTATAGCCCATGAACAGGTATAGTGCAAGGCTTTGAGGCCAGATCATTTTCCCCATCAGTGTTCTGAATAGTGATTAGATTATTCTTTAGTTTTGTTATAGCTATATCTAACTTGAATTTTCTGTTTCAGCGTCTCCTTATTGCAAAAGAATTTGGAGATAAAGCAGCTGAAAGAAGAGCATATAGCAACCTTGGAAATGCATATATATTTCTTGGTGAATTTGAAACTGCCTCTGAATACTACAAGTTAGTCTAATATTTCTATAGATAAATGTAAAATGAATAGTTATGCAGTCCTATAAAATCATAGACTTTGGGTTTAAAACTTGCTTTTTGCACATACTAGCAGCAGGAACTTATACTTCTAAGCCTCAATTTCTTCATCTGTAACGGATGATGCCCAAAAGCAACGGACGATGCTTTTGGGATTGTTGTGAGGATTGAATGAAAGAATATATTAAGCATTTACTTTGCATAGGACGTGGCTCATAGTCCTAAATAAATATTGTACCTTTGATTTAATCATAGCAGTATGACTCCTTTATATTTTTGTTAGTTTTTATCTTTAAAACTGTTTTTAAATGAAATTCTAAACTTTTAAAGTCTTTTAAACCTGTTTAATGTGTGGGGTATGTATATTTATATGCTTTTTTTCACCCAGTTATGTGTTTGCAAAAAGCCACAAGAAAGTCTGGTAACAAAAATATGCCCTAGTTTTCATCAGTGATCACTTAATTCTTCCCCACCATTGTACCCTCATGTTGAACATTTCACCCACCCTCTCCTGCCCATCTTTGAGCCTCACCATAAACTGAGGCCCCCATTCACTTGCCTGAGGAGTTGGCAAACCTAGCTTCTTCTGGGAAGGGTCTTTCTGGTCTTTCAATAGACTTGACACATAGATAATAGGAAAGTGTAGACTGTTTGAGATTGTCTGGTCTGTGCTTTCTAGTTTGGAGTTTTCTCTAATTAGTGGGGATCGAAGGCCCATATAGACCTTAGGCAGAAGCCAGTTTGAACCAAAGATACAATGATTGAGTTGTATTTTATTGTTAAAGAATCCAGTGTGAGAGGGTTTGGGATAGTTTGTCATCTAAAAACAAAAGGTAAAATTGCTTTAGGTCCATCTTAAAAACTAGAATGTCATTCCACCCTACTTTAAACATTGACTAATGGTTAATATTTGTTCGTTGATTAGTTAGATATAAGATATCCTCCTAAATAAAATACATTACTATATAAGGAATATGTAGTTTGATTTTGATTTTATTTTGATTTATTTTTTTAAGTTTTATTTATTTAAGTAAGCTCTACACCCAACGTGGGGCTCAAACTCCTGACCCTGAGAGTTGGATGCTGTTCGGACTGAGCCAGCCAGGCACCCCTATATTTTGATTTTAAATATAAAAGTTTCTTATATTTTAAAGCCAAAAGACATGGAAATGTCTTAATTAATAGATGATCTACTTGTATTAAATACTTAAAAGTTCTGCAATAAAGTGGATGGTGGCTGTTTGAGTAAAGAACAGGAGTATGAAGTAATGAAACTTCTTCCCGCTGCCCTCTCCATAAGCAGGCTAAAACTCAGAACTCTCAGGACTGCACAAGAAGGCTATCTTAATGTTTTAAATCGTTATCCTTCAGGATAGAAAGCAGTAGTAGTAGCAGTTTGGTAAACCTACTTTAGCAATTGAATTTGTTCCAGAAGGACTTCTGAATATTTACAAATTATATCGTCAAAGAATAATGGTGTGCCAGAAAAATACTCCAGGACCTCAAAGCAATTCCAGAAGTCTTGCAAAAATGTTTGAGAGGAGGCAGTGTTAGAATAAGTGTGTGGTCTCCCAAGGTGACAGCTTTGAAGGTATCACCATTAAATATAAAATTTCAGGCTTGTTTGCTTAAAACTATATTATCTATCATATACCTATTTTTTGTGTAATTATAAATCACATGAAATATTTGTACTGTTTGGCAGAAACTGTAGGAGTCATTTAAGTTACTGGATCTAAAGCATCTGTAGGCTTAAGTGCTGATAATAATAATCAAAACAGTATTTACATTTGTTACCATCTCCTGTGAGCAAGATGCCATTCTAAGCACTTCATATATACTAATTTGTTTCATCCTCACAAAACCCTGTGAGGTATTTTCCCCATTTTACAGATGAGGAAACAGAGAGTTTGAGTGACTTGCCCTGTGACAGAGCTAATAATTGCCAAAGTTGGGATTTGAACCCATTCTAACTTTAGGGTCCACACTCTTAACTGGGACACGAGGTTCTCATTGATTCAGTGTGTGTTAGGTAGAATCTGGTTAATGTTTAAATGTGGTATTTAATATTTTTCATGAATCAGTGACTACTGATTGTACACATTCTACACATTAGAATTTTGAGTACTATGTTTTGAATTTTGACAAAATGCAAAGACAACAGTATAATTGAAAAGAGAGGGGGCGCCTGGGTGGCGCAGTCGGTTGAGCGTCCGACTTCAGCCAGGTCACGATCTCGCGGTCCGTGAGTTCGAGCCCCGCATCAGGCTCTGGGCTGATGGCTCAGAGCCTGGAGCCTGTTTCCGATTCTGTGTCTCCCTCTCTCTCTGCCCCTCCCCCGTTCATGCTCTGTCTCTCTCTGTCCCAAAAATAAATAAACGTTGAAAAAAAAAATTAAAAAAAAAAAAAAAAAAAGAGAGGTTATGTGGACGAAATTTTCTTACTTTTAAGCTATTGCCACTACAACTTGGATAGTTTTTTTAGAGACACTTGGTCTTGTGTCAGTATTCCTTTTCTCTGAAGAATATTTAATAGGGCTCTCAAATTTATTCTGAGAGTCTAGATTTGGTTTTTGTGTTTCCAAAACAACTTCATTTTGTCTGAAAGTAATGGAAAAAGTATGAGATATTAAACTCTAAAATAAATTTACTTTAGAGGCAGGAAGAAAAATGAGTGTTTTATTTTATGATTATTATAGCCAAAAATAAAAATGATCATTATGTAAGAATTAATTTCTTTTTTTAGAAAGACACTGCTATTGGCTCGACAGCTTAAAGACAGAGCTGTAGAAGCACAGTCTTGCTATAGTCTCGGAAATACATACACTTTGCTTCAAGACTATGAAAAGGCCATTGATTATCATCTGAAGCACTTAGCAATTGCTCAAGAGCTAAATGATAGGTAAGTTATACAGCTCCCTACTATAATTATAGTAAAATATAGATGCATTATTGAATCCTTAGAATTTTTCCTTTGTTTTTAAGTTTGTTTCCTTTGTTTTCTTTTTAATTCTTTTTTAAGGAATTTCTTCTGTTTTAGTTACCTTCTCTGTACGTTACTGCTTGAAGGGCTAGCATGTCATAGGAGTTTGCGATGGTCTATATAGCCTTGAACCAAGATCAATAAGTAGGTCACAAACTTGGTTGCCTGCAAAGGTCCTCCTGACTAGAACAGTGTGGGAATTGTGGTGATCTTAGAGATAAGGCCCAGCGTAAGGGGACAGCTGTTACTCAGCTCCAGCTAACTGATGCCAGGCAGGACCAAGGGTCTGTAATGTCCAGGTACTCCTCTGTTTTCAAGAGAAGCTGGAAGTCCTGAGTTTTATTTGAAATCTTCTGATTTTTAAATATTGGTGGCTATTTTTTTTAATAAAAAACTGTATGATAAAACAGAATCTGTGCAGGCATTTAGTCTGTGATGTTTGCTTTAGAAAGAGATTTTTACTTCAGTATGAAGAACTGCTTTTCTGTAATTGTTCAAAATGAAATATGTTACTTCAAGAGGTAGTACATTCTCTCTCCCCAGTGGTGTTCAAACCTGGACTGAATGATTACCTGGTAGGGCTGTCATGGAAAGAAAATGGGCAGTTTAACTAGAAGACCTATTAGATTTTATTATTTTATAATAAATTGTATGTTTGAAAAGGACGTTTCCCATTTTTTGCTTGACTCTGAGTTTGGTATTATCTGGGTATTCTAATATGTCTCCAGTGATGTGATAGTATATTCTTTATATGAAAGACCAAATCCAAGAGTGGGAGAGAGCCAAAGCATAAGAGAGTCTTAAAAACTGAGAACAAACTGAGGGCTGATGGGGGGTGGGTGATGTGTATTAAAGAGGGCATCTTTTGGGATGAGCACTGGGTGTTGTGTGGAAACCAATTTGACAATAAATTTCATATATTTAAAAAAAAAACAAATCCAAAACATTGTTTATACCATTAATTACTGCTAAATAGCTTTTATTCTACACACAGCTCTCCTTTCATATAACTATATCTTAGCTTTGAATTGTTTTGTAGAATTGGTGAAGGAAGAGCATGTTGGAGCTTAGGAAATGCATACACAGCTCTAGGGAATCATGATCAAGCAATGCATTTTGCTGAAAAGCACTTGGAAATTTCAAGAGAGGTATGTAACTAAAAAACAGCTGTCTGTGCTATGTGATTCACAAATTAGCAGGGGGTGGGGGAAGGCCTATTATTTCTCTGGATTTCTCCTGTATAACCTAGTAATAAATCTATGTTATTCCCTTGGCATAAAAACTGCACAAAGCATTTTGAGATACAGATCAGAGGTCTGTTTGCATTGGCTTTGATGTAGGAAGATAGGAAGGTAAGACCAGGCATAGGGGAATGGAAAGATTACTAAAATATGCCTCCTGTCTCTACATGGAAAAGTAGCATGGTATGGAAAGAAAAAACGGGGTTTTTTTGTTGTTGTAGTTGTTGTCTTTTTTTTTTTTTTTTTTTTTAACATGGTTGTTATAATCCAAGGATTTATAATCCAGATTGTATCTGTTCCTGGGGCACCTGGGTGGCTCGGTCGGTGAGCGTCCGACTTCAGCTTAGGTCATTATCTCGTTGTCTGTGAGTTTCGAGCCCCACGTCGGGCTCTGTGCTAACAGCTCAGAGCCTGGAGCCTGCTTCGGATTCTGTGTCTCCCTCACTCTCTGCCCCCTCCCCCGCTCATGCTCTGTGTCTGTCTGTCTGTCTGTCTGTCTCTCTGTCAAAAATAAATAAACATTCAAAAAGTAAATTAAAAAAAAAAAAAGATTGTTATCTATTCCTGTTCCAGTTCTGCTTTCTGGCTGTTTGAGCTTGGAAATCTTTTCTGAACCTCATTTCTCATCTGTAAAATGGGAAGAATAACATCTACCTTGCAAATCATTATAAGAATTAGAGACAGTGTATGTAAAAGTGCCTAGTGTAATATCTATTGCTGGCTTAATAGATACTATTACTATGGTATGGAAACAATATTCTAAGGAAATTTTATTCATGTGTTGGCAACTTAATGTGTCACAGAATAACCTGCGTTATTATTAAATATGATTGTAGAGATTAAGAGCAATTAGTATTTAGAGAATGGAAGTATTGGTAGAATGTAATCAGCTTTCCTATTGCCATATTTTAGAAGCTTCCCTTTTCTTTAAAGCAACTATTATTGGAAAAACCCATTTCATTCAGTCTCTTAATTCTAATAGATCTATTTTCATTTCTATTTTCTTCCAGTTTTAGGTTCATAACATTTTCAACTAATCTTCACCATTGTCTTTAAATACTACTCTAAAATATAAATGCTTGTTGGTTGTAGGTTGGGGATAGAAGTGGTGAACTAACAGCACGACTGAATCTCTCAGATCTTCAAATGGTTCTTGGTCTGAGCTACAGCACAAATAATTCAATAATGTCTGAAAATATTGAAATTGATAACAATTTGCATGGTAAGTAACAGGTCTTCAAACCCAATTTCTTTATCCTCAATTACATTTAAATTACTCATCACATGTTAACCATCTCCAGAGAGAATATATAACTTAGGAAGCTCAAATTTTTATAATACCTTTTTGCTTTACCATAGTCCTGTTGATGTATCACTATAGAATATGGTATTTTACGGTTGTTATCTTGAACTTAGGAATGGTAAAGGTATGATTATTTTCTATAGGGTCACTCAAATTTATAAATGTTTGATGACAAAATTAAAATATTTTATTGTTATTCTTTTTGATTCAAACGTTTTTACGTATTTGATTTTTGTTTAGCTCTTGTTTCATTTCTAAGGTTATCTCTTAGATGAAAATTAAAAGGTCTGAAAATACCAGTATTGAAATGTGGGTAATGGAAGCTCTCATTCAGTGTTGACGGTGATAGAGATGTGTTTACTCTCAAGAACAATGTGGCAACATTCTGGTAAAGTTGAGGATGTACTGAGCATATGATCTGGCATTTCCACTGCCAGTTACATACCACTGATATCCAAACTGGAAGAAACACTTGCTCGTGTCACTAAGAGAAAGAGACATTTTCAAGAATTTCTGTAATAGTACTGCTTATGATAACAAAAAATAAGAAGCACTCTAAATCTCTGTCCCCAGTAGAATGGATAAAGAATTTCCTAGTCCTAAAATGGCAGTCAAAATTAAACTACACATATGAACTTGGCTGAATCTCACAAAGTTTCTCAAAGGAAGCAAGTTAGATGATATATACAGTATGAGAGCATTTATTATAAAATAAACTAAATTGCTTGGAGATCTATATATATGTAAATATATAGATGAAACATATGAAATATATGAAAATATAAAAAATTATAGGGAGGAGGAGGCACATTTTCAGAGTCACAGAGTAGTGAATATGTTGATAGTGGTTTATTTGTTAAGCTGGGTATTAGGTATCATATATTCCTTATGCCTTTAAAATATTGCTTAATTTTTAAAATATTGAATGGATATGAAAATGTGAAAATGGATATGAAAATATATTTCTCTATATTCAATGCTAACTTTATTGAAAAAACTTTTGAGGACCATGTTTATGTTTATTTAACATGTTTCCTGGTCAGCATTAAATCTCTCATCTAATGTGATCTTAAAATGAATATGAGTAACAATATAGAACTAGAGGTGTTACTTTGATTCTTACCTTGAAATTGAAGGCCTAAAGCCTTTTCCTTGGATTTTTACTTAATTAAAAAAATTTTTTTTATTGTTTGTTTATTTTTGAGAGAATGTGAGTGGGGGAGGGGCAGAGAGAGACAGAGAGGGAGACACAGAGTCCAAAGAAGGCTCCAGGCTCTGAGCTGTCAGCACAGAGCCTGACACGAGGCTTGAACTCACAAACCATGAGATCATGACCTGACCTGAAGTTGGATGCCCAACCGACTGAGCCACCCAGGAGCCCCTTATTATTTTTTTTAATGTTTATTTATTTTTGAGAGATAGAACATGAGCTGGAGAGTGCCATAGAGAGGTGGGGGATAGAGGATCTGGAGCGGGCTCCATGCTGAAAACAGAGCCCTATGCAGGGCTCGAACCCATGAACTATGAGATTATGAGCCAAAGTCGGACATTTAACCGACTGGTTTTTACTTACTTAAACTACCCTACAGTCTGTTTTTTCCCCTACTATAATCATTTTAGTGGTTTTTTTAAATTTGTGTTTTTTCCAGTTTGAGAAATATTTGACATACATGATTGTAAATTAAAGGTGTACAGTATGATGACCTGATTTATACCTAGTGAAATGATCACCACAGTAGGTTCAGTTAACATCCATCTTCTCATACAGATAGCAAAAGGGAAAAAAATATTCTTCTTTTGATGAACATTCTTAGGATAAACCGTCCTAGCAACTTTCCTAAGTGTCATACAGCAATGTTGACTGTAGTCCTCATGATGTACGTTCTATCCCTAGTACTTATTTACCTTATAACCTGAGGTTTGTACCTTTTGACCACCTTCTTCCTTTCCCCCTCCGTAATCCTCTGCCTCTGGTAAATCACAAGTTTGATCTCTTTTTTTCCTAGTTCGGGTTGTTTTTTTTTCTTTTTAGATTCCACTATAAGATCATACGGGATTTGTCCTTCTCATTTTCTTTTAAGAGTTTCTGTGGATAGTATAAAACCAGTTATTATAAAATGCCTTTTCTAAATTAAGGGGTAATGTCAGTAACCAAAGTTAGTTTCCAACCAAAATGTAACTTCCCTACATCAAAGCATTTTAGAGGGAGTGTATATTCTATTTTTATGTAGTTGGTATGGAAAATTATTATTCTTAAAAAAATACATGTTTGTATGTTTCCTCCTACCATATGGGCTTGTGTAACAGACTTTAAAATTGAATAACCTAGTCATGCTGAATTTGTAGTCTTAAGGACTTCCCCATGTATTTGAATTTTTTTTTTTTTTTTAAACAAAGGTGCACGCCCGAAGTTTGGACGCCGACACAGTATGGAAAACATGGAACTTATGAAGTTAACACCAGAAAAGGTTGGCAGCCTTTAGGTTTTTAAATTTCTTGAACTGTTATAATCAAATATTTAAGTAACTTTTAACTTACATGAATAGTTTAAATAAAACTTGTGTTGTATAGGTATCACTTTAAAATTTTCCTTTAAAAAGAATTTTTAAAAAGTACAGTCTAAAAAGAATGTGCCTAATATGCTGCCATCTGTTTAAGAGAAGCATTATGCATCTATATCCTTTGTAGATGCTTAAAACATTTCAGGAAGAATCTCTTAAGAAACCTGCTAATAAAAATAACAATTGCTTCTGGGAAAAGGAGTGGATGTCTCAGAAGAGATACTTTGTACACAGTTTTAGTTTGAACTGTTTGAACATTTTAACATGTACGCGTATTACTTTTTTTAATTACTTTTTTTAAATGGGAAAATTAAAGGGTTAGGAAGCTTTTTTTTCCCCCAACTAAGTAACAGCAACATTATTAGTAAGATAAGTGATATGTATGATCAAGCTAGTTTTTCTGGCTGCATTTCTTAAAAGCATTTTCTTCACTAACTGTTTATTCAAGATGCATCTTCCTTAGGCTTTTGTTTTCAGTAACAGAGAAGGGACTTTATAATTAGAAAAGTTATTTTTTTCTTTTATAATTTTCTATTAAGTTTTTTAATTCCAGTGTAGTTAACATACAGTGTATGGGAGTTCCAGGTGTGCAGTATAGTGATTCAACACTTCTGTGCATTACTCAGTGCTCATCATGCTAAGTGTACTCTTTAATCTCCATCACCTATTTCACCCATCCCCCCACCCAGGGAAAAGATTAGTGAAGAAAAGAAATCTAGGTCCTTTCTTCCACCTTTAATTTTTACATTGTTAAAGCAGGCTGTTGTTCTTTTATGGTATATTTTTTAAAATACTTTTTAAATTTTTTTTTTTCAACGTTTATTTATTTTTGCGACAGAGAGAGACAGAGCATGAACGGGGGAGGGGCAGAGAGAGAGGGAGACACAGAATCGGAAACAGGCTCCAGGCTCTGAGCCATCAGCCCAGAGCCCGACGCGGGGCTCGAACTCACGGACCGCGAGATCGTGACCTGGCTGAAGTCGGACGCTTAACCGACTGCGCCACCCAGGCGCCCCTAAAATACTTTTTATAAAATAGGTTCATTATAATAACTTCAGAAAATTCCAACAAGGAAATTAAAATTATCAGTAATCCCACCCTCAGTGGTAACTACAAGTAATATTTTGGTATTTATTCATCTTGCATTTTCATGTGATTATTAATATTTTATAGATATTTTATAATGTGTAGTTATTATTTCCATGTTATTAAACATTTTTCTGCCCTATTATAATAGGCATATGATTTTTTAATATTGACATTTTTTGTGGGAAAAGTTTTCATAAGTTCAAATCAGCCAGATATATATAAAGTTTTTCAGAAATCCTAGTTAACTCCTGAAGGACTTTGTGATTTCCCCAGATATCTGTCTACATCTTATCTTGTCAGTTTGCAAATCTGACTAATCTGCAATTAATTAATTAGGCTAATCTGCAATTTATTTAATGTTTGTTTATTTTTGAGAGAGAGAGGGAGACAGAGCACAAGCAGGGGAAGTGCCGAGAAAGAGGGGGATACAGAATCTCTGAGCTATCAGCACAGATTCTGGCTTGGGGTTTGAAATCATGAACTTGAGATTATGACCTGAGCCAAAGTTGGCCACTTAGCCGACTGAGCCACCCAGGCACCCCTGCAAATTATTAAGAGAAAAAAAACAAACACCTTTTAAGTCAATTTAGGTCTCTTTTCCTATTTCTTGTAGGAACATCCTAATTAGCAAAATTAATTTGCTGCCTTGTGCCTAGCTCTGAAGTGGTACTAACAATAGATTTCATTAAGAAGCTGACTAGATTCAACCCTTTAATTTTCCAAGAGCCAAATAATGGCAAAGTTTTGTCTCTAAAATATGTTTGGAATTCTGTGTTTTCTTTCCCTCATAATAAAGTTGCGATTCATTATTCTCGACCAAGCTAAGAAGCATATGTAAAGAAAAAAGGAGATTCTGTGTTAAAGATATTTCTTAGGAAAGAACACAGTTGAAGGGAACTCTTGAGACCCTGGATGTCTGAAAATGCCTTTTTGCTACTCTCACATTTGACTGATAATTCTTACTATGGAATTACTAATTGGAAATAATTTTCCTACATAATTTTGAAGACATTGTTCCAGTCTGTATTCTTCAGTGCTTTTGTTGAGAAGTCCAAATAAGTATATAGGAAACATTAAAAATTTTTCACATTTCTGGGGCACCTGGGTGGCTTAGTCGGTTGAGCGTCCAACTTCGGCTCAGGTCGTGATCTTGAGGTTCACAAGTTTGAGCCCCGCATCAGGCTCTTTGCTGACAGCTCAGGGCCTGAAGCCTGCTTAGCATTCTGTGTCTCCCTCTCTCTCTGCTCCTCCCCTGCTCACACGCTGTCTCTCTCTAAAAAATAAAGATTAAAAAATTTTTTTTTTCACATTTCCACTTGGGATTTAGGTAGAGTTTTATGTTGTTTTTTTTTTAAGTTTATTATTTATTTCTAAGAGAGAGAGCGAGCATGAGTGAGGGAGGGGGAGGGAGAGGGAATCCCAGGCAGGCTCCAGGCTGTCAGCACATAGCCTAATATGGGGCTCAAATCACAAACCATGAGATCATGCCCTGAGCCCAAATTGAGAGTCAGGTGCTTAACCGACTGAGCCACCCAGGCACCCTGAGTTTTATGTTCTAATAATTGGGCTTGTTTACTTTTCTCCAGTCAATAGACCCTGTAGTCCACCCCAACAAATAGTTTCTCCTTATCACCTGTATGAGAAAAGGAACAGAGGGAAAAAAATAAAACAAACTTCATTTGTTACCCAGAATTTACCCAGATAGCTGGCTTGTTCACTCACTAGCTATCTCTCACTCAGGTACAATAGCCTCAGGGCAAGACTTATCCTAATTTGTGTCTCATGTGATGTAACTTTATAGACCTTTGGACTACAAACACTTAAGACCGAATGTTAAAGCTGCAAATGTCATGTAGCTACTATACATACTGTGTTTTTCCTTTCCACTCAGTAAATATTTGTTTTTTGTTTTTTATGGTTTTTAGTCATTCTTACTATTTTAGGGTTTAGGGTTTTTTTAGTAACTTTATTTTTAATTTACATCCAAGTTAGCATATAGTGCAACAATGATTTCAGGAGTGGATTCCTTAATGCCCCTTACCCATTTAGCCCATCCCCCCTCTCACAACCCCCAGTAAATATTTGTTATATTGAGTCTGTTGTTTAGAGGTTAAGTATATTTAAACCAGGTCTAGGCCTATATAAATGACTGATGTTTTCCCTGTTGAGAATTTAGTAGTTAGTGAAAACAAAAAATGACAAAAAAAATTACTGCTGTATGGCTTAGATGTTAATTTATACTGTTAAAAATTCCACATATATCCAGAATTTCCAGTTGTAACAGATTAATTAACTCACATCCAGAATAAAATTTGCTCTTTGACCTTTCATATTTTTATGGGATTTTGGCAAACTTTGTTTTCTTTTTTTTTTTAATTTTTTTTTTTGCTTATTTAGTTTTGAAGGAGGGAGAGACAGAGTGTGAGTGGGAAGGAGCAGAGGGAGAGGGAGACACAGAATCCAAAACAGGCTCCAGGCTCTAGGCTCTGAGCTATCAGCACAGAGCCCGATGTGGGGCTCCAACCCATGAACTGTGAGATCATGACCTGAGCTGAAGTCAGATGCTCAACCGAGTGAGCCACCCAGGCACTCCTTACTTTCTTAAAAAATTATTTTGAGAGGGAGAGAGAGGGCACAAGCAGGGAAAGGGCAGAGAGAGAGAATCCCAAGCAGGCTCCGTACTATCAGCTTAGAGCCCAATGGGGGCTTGATCCCACAAACTCTGAGATCATGACCTGAGTGAGAATCAAGAGTCAGATGCTTAACTGACTGAGCCACCCAGGTGCCCCTGTTTTCTTACTCTTAAGTTCCTAAAAGTCACCATTTTAATGTTTTGGTGATGAAAAATTCACAGTATGCATTTGGTACAAGCTGTTGAAAATAGATATACTGGCAAAAAGGAATGTATTAAGAGATCTAGCTGCACCCCACACTAGAGGAGTGGCAATGGCAGGTTAATATGATAGAAAACCAGAAATAGCTTTGGTTTTTTCATGCCCTGTTTTCCATATCTGTTTATAATTTTGTAGGTACAGAACTGGAACAGTGAAATTCTTGCTAAACAAAAACCTCTTATTGCCAAACCTTCTGCGAAGCTGCTCTTTGTCAACAGATTGAAGGGGAAAAAATGCAAAACTAATTCCTCCACTAAAGTTCTCCAAGATGCCAGTAATTCCATTGATAATCGAATTCCAAATTCTGAGAGGGTATGTATGAAATAAGTTTTTGAGTATTCTGCTTTGAGTACCTACATTTTAGTTTTCTTGTATTCATACTGAATATTTGATAAATTATATTAGACATTTAATATAAAATATCTTTTTTTATTCAAAGAAGTCTTCCATATTTCCCTACCTTTTCTGTCTTCTTCAAAGCTAGAAACTGTAATTACTCCATTCATGGATATGTTGCTTCACTGCTCTGGACAGTAATTATTTGTCACTGATTACAAAAATACTACCTTTTAGTTTACTACAGTGTCTCCTAGTAAAATTCCTTTCATTGTAGAAGTTAGAACAAATTAAATTCATAGGTTCAAGGATTTTAAAATGCTGATTTAAAATAGTATCTGCTGGGGCGCCTGGGTGGCGCAGTCGGTTAAGCGTCCGACTTCAGCCAGGTCACGATCTCGCGGTCTGTGAGTTCGAGCCCCGCGTCGGGCTCTGGGCTGATGGCTCAGAGCCTGGAGCCTGTTTCTGATTCTGTGTCTCCCTCTCTCTCTGCCCCTCCCCCGTTCATGCTCTGTCTCTCTCTGTCCCAAAAATAAATAAACATTGAAAAAAAAAAATTTTTTTTTTAAAAAATAAAATAGTATCTGCTAGCATCAACTTCTATTTATGTTGAAATTATAACAATTAAAAACTGCTTTGATGAAAAATGATCACAGGAATCAGCTTATTAATCTAGCTACCCTACACTCTGATAAAAGAACCAAAATAAATTACAAAGATGATACTTCCAATTATCAAGTCCATTTTCCAATGCGAGTTTTTTAAATTCTTTGTTTATTCATTTTTGAGCAACAGAGTGCAAGCAGGGGAGGGGCAGAGACAGAGGAAAACACAAAATCCAAAGCAGGCTCCAGGCTCTGAGCTGTTAGCACAGAGCCTGACGCAGGGCTCGAACTCACAGACCATGAGATCATGACCTGAACTGAAGCTGGACACTCAACCGACTGAGCCACCTAGGCACCCCTCAGTGAGAGCTTTTGGAAAAACTGCTGGTCTTTTATTTTTTTGACCAATTTCTCTTGGTCCTCTTGTCAGCATCCCATCATATCTGTACCCTGGTAGTGTCTTTTGTATTGATTTTTACCAGTTTTTTATGTGTATGACTAACAAAAGGAAACTTTATGGGTATATAAAAATGGCTCAGGAATATTTTTATAGACCTAGAGCAGATCTCAAAGGCATACCCTTTGTTCAAGATTTCAGGTTTTAACGAAGCCCACTTAGCTCAACTGAAAAACGTCCACTTCTGGACCCTTCCTGTGTTTTAATGTTTAGAAGTTTGAATTTGAGCCTTTTTTGCACCTAGGAAAGTCTTGTTAGTGATTAATACATCTTACTATAGCATATGTATATATTTAATCCCAAACCTCAGATTGCATGTTAAAGACTGTACTCTCTCAAACCCTCCTGTTTCCTTTACGTATGCTATGTACTCGGTCACCCAAGTTAGGTGTCATTCTAGACTCCTTCCCCCTAATCATATCCAATCAATCCCTACATCCCTTAGATCTGTCCCCACCCCCACCTTTTGAAAATAAACCTCTGCTACTGTGTCTTAGTTCTTAGGGCAGTACTGCATCTCTTAGCCAGATTTTTGGAATAGGCACCTGAACCTGATCTCTTTCCCTACGTAATTTCTGCAACCTTTTGGAGGTGCCAGTTCTGTTTAAAATTGTTACCAGTGCTTCTCTTATTTCACACAGTATAACTTGTATATCACACAGAGGCCCTTGTTTTGGCAGCTTCTTCCTTCTTCACCTCCCCAACCCTTCAGTTCTTAATCCCCTGAATACTACAGACCTTTGGAATTGCACATTAATCAGTATGAAACATATCTGCCCTGCTAATGGTTATTCATTCTTCAGGAGCCAACTCAAATACCAGTTTCCCCTATTTCCCTGAAGAATTAGTTCTGCCTTTTTCCTGAGGCCTAGGACATTATATATACATAAAGACTGTACTCTCTCATACATATATATGTGTATTTCTAATATTTACATCATTGTGAAGAATGAAACTTCTATTAAACATTGCATCTGTCATATTAAGCTTTGAAGCCTTCCAAATAAAGTATGACCAGTTCCCCTCTGCCTCAAATACTCATTTATTTGAAGTTCACATTTTTTTCAAGATCTTCAAATCTGTAAATATAATAAAGGATCTTGGAAATCAGTGTGCTTTCTTAGTTTTCAGTTCTTAGTTTACTTTTAAATTCTGTTGTAGAATCTTAGAACCAAACTTTGAGCCTGGGATCACTAATATTTACATAATTCATTCAATATCTGGAGCAGTTCCCCAGAGTTGAGGTACATTTCTTTATTCTTTAGCCTTGGAAATACAGAGATTAAAAACTAAAATAACTAGAAATGCTTTTTGTTAATTGGATTAAAATAACTTGATTACCAGGGTTGCCATCTTGAATTCTTTATAATGAAAATGTAAGTTTTTCTTTAAAGTTTATTTATTTTGGGGGGGGGGGGGGGGGGGGGGACAGAGGTCCCAAAGCGGGCTCTTCACTGACAGCAGACAGCTGCATACAGGACTCGAACTGAAACCACGAGAGGATGACCTGAGCCAAAGTTGGACACTTAATCGACTGAGCCACCCACGCACCCCGAAAGTGTCAATTTTTAATCTTAACCCTTTTGCATATATATCATGATATTGTTCCATTGATCTCATGATAATGCTGGAATATTCAGATTTTCTCTCAATATTTCAGAAAATCGGTGCAGGTATTACTGGAGACGAAGGGTTCTTTGACCTGGTAAGCCGATTTCAGAGCAATCGGATGGATGATCAGAGGTGCTGCTTACAAGAACAGAGCTGCGGGACTGCTTCAGCTGCGGCTTCTTCCACTCCACCTCGAGTGATGATGAAAGGTGAGTGATCTGTGCTTCTCCCCTAATTTTAGTAGTTCCCTTTGATATTCTTGTGATTTCTTTCTGAGAGTTTAGTTCTCATCAGAGCAGGTACAGTAAATGAGCCTGAATCCAGGTGTATCTGAAATGCTGGTATTTCTTCAGTTCGAAACAAGGTTTTGTTTCGGTTTCCCTAGGTTTATCTGTATTTTAGTCCAGGTACTTTCTACTAACTATATCATATTTCCTCCCTAGATTCTTTGGGACTGGAGGGAAAAAAAAAATCTAACTTTAAAAATAGGAAAAAATTTAGTTATAATTCTATGTAAAAGACAAATGCTTTCTGTCTGGATTAAAAAGAAAAGCCAAGACAGACTGAAGAGGAACCTCTAACTCAGGCTGAAGCTAAGGCCTGCCTGAGCCTTAGAAAGGTCTAAAATGGATTACCTAAGATTTTCTCTTTCAGCTACCAGAAGATTTCCTCTGTAGACCAGGACTTAGCAGCAATAGTTTAAGTTAGCTAAGTGGTTCCCATGCAGGGCAGAGAATAAAAACAGTCTCATTCATCCTCACGTGAGAAATTATGTAAGAGAGATTATTTACCTTCTGAAATCTAGCCCAAGATCTTGTAAAGTTACATTTTGAGCAGGTGGTTGATAAAAGGAAAGATAGTCAAATCTGAATAACCTCCAAGTGAATCACCTGAAGTATTCTGGGATTTATTCTTCCCTCCCTGCCCATCTGGTCAGGCCCCAGCCTCTCAGAGCTAAAGCAGGAGGCAGTGGATGTTGGGACTGAAAAAGGCAGAAAGAACTAGATGTATATTAAAAATATGTTTAAATATTTTCATAATGTTTGGGACTTTTTTCCCCTGTTCATAGCACCGTCTGTTTCCGTGGTGTCCCCCAACACAGATGAGTTTTTAGACCTTCTTGCCAGCTCACAGAGCCGTCGTCTCGATGACCAAAGGGCCAGTTTCAGTAATTTGCCAGGGCTTCGTCTGACACAAAACAACAATAAGTCCGTACTTGGCCACTTGATGACTAATGACAACAAAGAGCCTGATGAAGACTTCTTTGACATCCTTGTAAAATGTCAAGTATGTATGCATATTTTTGTTGGTCTGTGTGTAGCTGAAATGCTGTTGAGAGCTTTGGCAGTATTTTGATTATAATTTGGGAAAGGCTCATTTTGTATTAGGGACACACTTATCATTTAAGGATCCTTCAGACACTATAGATCCCTGTGATAGCTTCTTATTTTGTATTTTGGGTGGTAAGGTAAGGTGTTGCTGATGCCTCTCTCTGACCTGTGGTGGAGAGGAGACTGAAGGGCATTGGGAGGAGACCTAGAAAAGAGCCCCGCTTTCCTGAATGTTAGTATCGGGAGCAACCAGTGATTAATATGGGGAGAGTCTAGCTGGGGCCCTTTATGCTGTTGAGAGCTTAGGAGAAATGAGATAGCTTTCATTTTTTATTTTAATAATTATTTGCCACAATGGTTAAGGAATACCTCAGATGGCTTGAACACGACCATGAGAAAAATAATCCTTATTTTCACTAAAGAGACATTTCCACTGCCTGACCCTAGTTCTGTGTCTGTTTTTTCATTCATAAAAAGAGGAGAGGATGATACGTACTACCAGCCTCTCCTTTATTCAGCAAAAAAACTGAGCACTTACTATGGAGATATCGTACTTGCTTTTAAAGTTTTTTAGTTATTATTTTTGAGAAAGAGGGAGAACCTGAAGCAGGCTCCACACTGTCAGCATAGAGCCTTAACATGGGGCTCAAACTCCCAAAACTGTAAGATCATGACCTGAGTCGGATGCTTAACCAACTGAGCCACCCACGTGCCCTGCCATGTACTTGCTTTTTAAGGATCCTATGTGTTAATGGGAGAGACAATAAGTAAGTCTCTGCGCGTGTAGAGATAGATACTATATGACAGGTACTGATACTTGCTATAAAGAAAATTAGAGCCAGATAAAAGGGTGGGGTAGCCAGGGGTGGTGGTGGTGGTTAGGGAAGATGTTCTTGGATTGACAGATGAACAGAGATCTGAATAAGGTAAAATAGCCATGTGAATATTTAGTGAAATAGCATTCTATGCAGAGACAAGTCCCTTCTTGGATATAAAAGCTTAGCAGGTTCAAGGAATGGCAAGGTGGCCAGTGTGACTGGCATGGAGTAAATAAAGGGTAAGGGAGAGTGGTAGGGGATAAGGATAGAGAAGTAACCAGCCTAGATCTTATGATCTTATAGGCCATGATGAGGTCTTGTGTTCCAGATGTGATAGGAAGACACTGGAGGGTCTGAAAGATCATCCTGTCTACTGCTGAAAGCATGTGGAGTGGCAAAGGCTGTTAGTAGGAGAACCAGCTAGAAAACCAATGTGGTAATTCAGGCAAAAGATATGACTTTGACTAGTGTGGTGGTAGTAGCGATGATAAGCAGTCAGAACAGGGATATATTTTGAAGTTATGGTTGATTGGCAAGACCTGTTAATAAATCAGATGGTATAAGAAACAATCAAGAAGGGCTCCTGCCTTTTTTGCTTTGAATAACTGTTGTCAGTGGATGGTGCAGTTTACTAAAATAGAGAAGCTGAGAGGAGAAACAGGTTTGGGAAGAAAAAGCAGGAGTTCTACTTTCGGTATGTAAATTTGAGTTACATAAATAGGTATTTAAGTGGAGATGTTGAGTAGACAACTGGATATAAAAATCTGGAGCCCCTGGGGGGCTCAGGTTGTGATGCTTGCGGTCATGAGATCAAGCCCCCTGCGCAGTCTCTGCCCCTCCCAGGTTCATGCATACTCATTCTCCCCTCCTTCCCCCAAAAAACCTATAGCCCCAGAGAGAAATGACTTTGGGAGTCATCAGCATATAGCTGGTATTAAAGTCCCAGGAAGATACTACCTAAAGAATAGATACTGAAACAGGAGGACTAAGCCCTGAGCATTCCAAAATCTACCTGAATAGAGGAAGATGAGCCAGCAAAGCAGCAGTCAGCCTGGAGAGTGGTAGAAGCAAATTGAAGAAAATGTTTTAAGGAATGTTCAACTGTGTCAGACACTGCTGAGAAGCCGAGTAAGATGATGACTGATCTACTAGCTTTGGCAATGTGGAGATTATTAGTCATTCTGAAAGATACTGTGATGGGGACAAAGGATTGAGGGGGTTGAGAAAATGGAAAGTGTTAAAGGGGAGACAGTAAACAAAACTTTCAAGGGATTTTCAAAGAGTTAAAGATGAAGTATATAGAGGTTGGTTTTTTTCTTATTTTGGGAGTTAATACCTCATGTCTGCTGATGTAAATGATCAAGTAGAGGGAGGAACCAGTGATGCAGCAGAGTATGTGTGTACAAATTTGGAGGTAGGTGCAGGTAGGAATTCTCTGGTTTTTCTTTTCTTAGCAAAGTAAGAAGTAGGGCCGTTAACAGAGATTGGGGTTGGAGCATTGTAATTTTGAAGAGAATAGAACATAGTTACTTTGAGAAACTGAAAGTATGTTGACCAGCAAAAAGTAATAGGATTATTGAACTACGCTGAGGATTCCTTCGAAGTTCACAGTCACTGAAGTAAGTACAGTGATGTATTTTCTCAAGGCATAACCAGCTACTTAAGGATAGAGATTTAATCAGGGTCAGTAATTTGATAGACTAGGATGGAAGAGGAGAGAAGCACATGCCAGGAAATGATTTTAATAATGGACTTTGGAACCTAGGCTGCATCTAAGAAAGGAGGTAGGAAAATGAAGGGTATGGAAGTGACAACTGTCAGTAATCCTGGTGGCTTTAATAGCGAAGACCTGGGGCAGCTGAGTCAGTTAAGCATCAGACTTCGGCTCAGGTCATGATCTCATGGTTTGTGAGTTCAAGCCCTGTGTCAGGCTCTGTACTGATAGAGCCTGTTTTGGATTCTGTGTCTCCCTCCCTGTCTCTCAAATAAACATTAAAGAAAAATACTGAAATCCTAGTAACAGGCCATCAACATAAAGAAAAGAAAAAATTGACAGAACTGAAGGGAGAAATTGACATTTCTATAAAAATAGCTGGCGATTTCAAGACTCTCCACCCCAGTGATAGGTAGGACAACCAGACAGATGATGAACAACACAATAAATCAGCTAGTTCTCACAGAATACACATTCTTCTCAAATGCATATGGGACATTCTCCAGGATTGACCATGTTAGGCCACAAATTCTCAACAGTTTTATTTTTGAGACACAGAGCATGAGTGGGAGAGGGGCAGAGAGCGAGGGAGACACAGAATCCGAAGTAGGCTCTGAGCTGTCAGCACAGAGCCAGACATGGGGCTGGAACTCACAAACTGCAAGACCATGACCTGAGCCAAAGTCATATGCTTAACCAACTGAGCCACCCAGGTGCTGCAAGTCTCAACAATTTTAAAAGATTAGATACCATACAAAGTATCTTCTCCACATCTCCGCAACAGGATGGAGTTAAAATAATAAGGAGGGGCACCTGGATGGCTCAGTTGGTTGGGCATCCGACTCACGGTTTCATTTCAGGTCATGATCTTGTGGGTTCAAGCCCCGTTCTGGGCTCTGCACTGAAGGTGAGGAGTCTGCTTGGGATTTTCTCTCTCCCCCTCCCCTGGGTCACACTGTGTCTCTCTACATAAATAAAACTTTAGGGAATTCCCAAATTTGTGGAAATTAACCAGTGGATAGAGAGGAAAACACAAGGGAAATTAGAAAATACCCTGAGACTGATAAAAATGAAAATACAATATCCTAAAACCTTGGGATGCAGGGAAGGCAGTACTCGGGGGGATATTTAGAGCTGCAAATGCTTATGTTAAAAGAGGAATATCTCAAATCAACAACCTAGTTTTTTATAGCTTAAGGGGTTAGAAAAAGAACAAACTAAACCTAAAACTAGCAGAAAGAAGGAAATGAACAACAGAAAAAAAAAATCAAATCCAAAAGCAGGTTAGTTAAAAGGTTTACCACAACTGACAAAGGCTCAAATTACTAAAATTACAAACAAAAGTAGGGACATCACTTCTAATTACAGAAATAAAAAGAATTTTTAGATAATACGTGAATGCTTATAAGTTGGATAACCTAGATGAAATGGACAAATAACCAGAAACAAAATCAGCCAAGACTTAATCATGAATAGAAAACAGACTCATAATCTATAAGGATACTGTATCAGTAATCAAAACCTCCCAACAAAGAAAAGCCCTGGACCTGCTAGCTTCACTGGTGAATTCTACCAAACTGAAAAAAAGGGAATACTTTCTATTCCTAAGTCATTCTGTGAGGCCAATATTGCCCTGATAACAAAGCCAGACAAGGCACTATAAGAAAACTATGTGTCCAGTATCCTTTTTGAATATAGATACAAAAATCATCAATAGAATACTAGCAAACAGAATCAAATGGCATATTTAAAAGATTATACACCATGCCTAGGTGTAATTTGTTCCTGGAATGCAAGGATGGTTCAACATAGGGGAATAATCAATGTAATATATACACTACATTAATAGAATGAAAGGGGGGGGGGAAAAAAACACCTGATCATCAAACCTGATGCAGAAAAAGCATTTGACAAAATTCAACACATTTTCATGATAAAAACACTCAACTAACTAGGGATAGTAAGAAACTACCACAACGCAATAAAGTCACTTATGAAAAACCTATAACTACCATCATACTCAATGGTAAATGACAAAAGCTTTAAAAGCAGGAATAAGGGGCGCCTGGGTGGCGCAGTCGGTTAAGCGTCCGACTTCAGCCAGGTCACGATCTCACAGTCCGTGAGTTCGAGCCCCGCGTTAGGCTCTGGGCTGATGGCTCGGAGCCTGTTTCCGATTCTGTGCCTCCCTCTCTCTCTGCCCCTCCCCCGTTCATGCTCTGTCTCTCTCTGTCCCAAAAAAAAAAAAAAAGTTGAAAAAAAAAATAAAAGCAGGAATAAGACAAAGATGCTCATTTTTTACCGCTTCTATTCAAATGGTACTGTAAGTTCGAGCAGAGCAATCAGGCAAGAAAAAGAGAGAAAAAGCATCCAGATAGGAAAGAAGTAAAATTATTTCTGTTCAGAAAGGAGTCTTATGTGCAGAAAATCCTGAAGATTTCACCAAACAAAAAAACCCTGTTAGAACTAAGAAACATGGGGCGCCTGGGTGGCTCAGTCGGTTGAGCGTCCGACTTCAGCTCAGGTCATGATCTAACAGTCTGTGAGTTTGAGCCCCGCGTCGGGCTCTGAGCCAAGCGCTCGGAGCCTGGAGCCTGCTTCCGATTCTGTGTCTCCCTCCTTCTCTGTCCCTCCCCCACTCACACGCTTGCTCCCTCTCTCAAAAATAAACGTTAAAAACAAATTCAAAATAACAGGGTACAAAATATCCCAAAATGAGTTGTGTTTCCATACACTAACAGTGTTAACAGACCAAAAAGGAAACTAAGAAAACCTTCCTAAAACAGCATCAGCAGGAATGAACTTAACCATGGAAGTGAAAGACTTGAACAATGAAAATTATAAAATGTTTCTGAAAGAAATTACATAAATGGGAATATTGTTAGAATGCCAGTACTAGCCAGAGTGTAATCTATGGATTCACATAATGCATTCCTTATCAAGATGTAAATAAGGTATTTTACAGAACAGAAAATTCCATCTTGAAATTCCTATAGAATCTTAGGGGAACCCAAATAACTGAATCTTGAGCAAGCAGAACAAAGTTGGAGGACTCCCACTTCCTGATTTCAAATTCTGCAAAGCTACAGTAATCAAACAGTATGGTACTGACATGATGACAGACATACAGACCAATGGAAAAGAGAGCCCAGAAATAAATCCTTGAATGTGTCTTCAGATGATTTTCCACAAGTGTGCCAAGACTATTAAATGGGGAAAGGAGTCTCACCAACAAATGCTGCTGGGAAAACTATCCACATGCAAAATAATGAAGCTGGGCCCTTACCTAACACCATATGTAAAAACTGAGAATGGATCAGAGACCTAAATGTAAGAGCTAAGACTTTAAACTTATAGAAAACATAAGAGGAAAGCTTCAAGATTTTGGATTTGGCAGTGATTTCTTAGTTATGAGACCTTAGTTATGAGGCACAGGCAACAAAAGAATAGACAAACTAGACTTGATCAAAGTTTAAAACTTTTGTACATCAAATGACACTATCAACAAAGTAAAAAGGCAACCCACAGAAGATACTTGCAAAACATATAATCAATAAAAGGATTAATTCAGAATATAGAGAACTCTAAAACTTAACCACAAAAAAAGAAACAAAAACCCTATTCCAAAAACGGGCAGAGAATCCAAATAGATATTTCTCAAAAGAAGATCTACAAATGGCTAATAAACACAGGAAGAGATGCTCAACATCACAAATTAGAGAAATGCAAATCAAAATCATAATGAGATACCATCTCATGAACCCATTGGGAAGCTACCATTAAAACAAAAATCAAAAAAATGGGTGCCTGGGTGACTCAGTTAAGCATCCCACTTCGGCTCAGGTCATCTCACAGTTCACAAGTTCAAGCCCCAGGTAGGGCTCTGTGCTGACAGCTTGGAGCCTGGAGCCTGCTTCAGATTCTATGTTTCCTTCTCTCTCTCTGCCTCTCCCCCACTCATGCTTGGTCTTTCTCTAAACAATAAACATTAAAAAAATTAAACAGTTGGCAAGGATGTGGAGAAATTGGAACTGTCGTGCACTGCAGGTGGGAATACAAAATGGAGAAGCTGCTATGAAAAATGGTTTGGTGATTCCTCAAAAAATTATTAAAAAACAGAACTACCATATGATCCATCAATCTCATTTCTGGGTATATACCCAAAACAGTTGAAAGCATAGATATGAGCAGATATTTGTATACCTACCTTCAGGCAGCCAGCATTATTGACAATAGCCAAAAGGTAGAAGCAACCAAGTGCCCACTGGCAGATGGATAAATAAAATGCGGTGTGCATGTACAATGGAGTATTTTTCAGCCTTAAAAATGAGGGAAATTCTGACAGGTTACAACATGGCTCAAGACATTATGCTGAGAAGTAGGCAGTCACAAAAGGACAAATACAGTTCCACTCACATGAGGCAAAGTAGATTCACAGAGACAAAGAATGGTGGTTACCAGGGGCTGGAGAGGGGAGGATGGGAGCTACTGTTTTGGTTTTGCAGAATGAAAATGTTCTGGAGATGGATAATGCTGATGACTGCACAGCGGTATGAATGTGCTTAATACTGAACAGTACACTTAAAAATGGTTAAAGTGGTAAACATTCTGTTTTACCACAATTTAACAAAAAATTCCTGGGGGAGTACTCTCTAGCCTGATCTGGAAAATTGGAGGTGGCAGTCAACATGAGATGTTTGAAATCCTGATTTTCAAGACAGTGCAGTTATTGAGAATGACCAAGTCTGGCCTATGACGATGGGAGCTTAATGGATAAGGCAGAGGTGAAGACTGGAGACCAGAGGAGAGGAGGTCTAAGGTGTGAAGTACCGAAGTGTTGGATGAATTGGAGGACAATGAAATCACCCCAACTTAAAGACAAGAGAAATGAAGAAGCAGGAGCCAGGTGTGTGGGTGGTGGGGGGCTGCTGGCAAGGCGGCCACTGAGAGTCACAGGGCTGGCTGTGGGGCGAAAGGTTAAGGCATATAAATGCACGGTGCCCAGCAACATAGTAGGCACTCAAATGTCAGCTGTCACAGTCCCACTCTGGAGCTACAATACCAAATACTATACTATACACATTTAAATGCTTATATTTTTTATTTGATGGATAACATTTGTAATGTACTTCTAAAAGAAGAATCAGAAGTTAGAACTTCAAGGAAAAAAATCTGGCTTGTTTCTTTAACAGATTTAAATGTTTAAGATAGGGCGAGGCAAACTTTCTGTACAGGGCTACATAGAAAATATTTTAGGCTTTTCAGGCCCTTACAACTGCTGGACTCTGCCAGCCACACTTAATTCGTAATTAGTAGACACATGAGTATTGTGGTGAAACAGAAAGGAAACTTTATGCACAAAACAGGCAGCAGGTTATGGTTTGCTGACCCCTGACCTGACACAGTAGTGCTGCAGGGGTTTTATATATAACATTGTATTTCTAAGGATTGGTAAGTTGTCAATGCCGATTATGTAAGATTTGACCTTGTATCTTAAGTAATCTTACCAAAGTCTTGAGCTTATGGCTATACTTCTACATAGTACTTGCTATGTTCTGATTATGTAAGTCTTTGAAAAGGTTTTATTAGGTTTCAGGTCTAAAGATTAAATTTCTGAGACAAGGCAAAAAAAAATTTTTTCTTGTGATGACAACATAATGTAACCTGGTGTTCTCCTTCCCTACAATATTTGTGTTTCAATCTCTCTCATAAATTTTCAGGGGTCCAGATTAGATGATCAAAGATGTGCTCCACCACCTGCCACCACAAAGGGACCAACAGTACCAGACGAGGACTTTTTTAGCCTGATTCTACGTTCTCAGGCGAAAAGAATGGATGAACAGAGAGTTCTTTTACAAAGAGATCAAAACAGAGACGCTGAATTTGGGCTGAAAGACATTTTGCAAAGTAATGCTTTGTTGGAATTTAAAAATACAGGAAAAAAATAAACCACTAGTTATTACGGATATATTTTTTTTTAAACGACCTTATTTCCTTTCAGAACACTGCAGGGAAACTCTTTTTTTCCTTAAAAGGAGAAATTATAGCACTGTAATACAGCTTAAAATGTTTTTAGAGTGATGTAAATATTTAACCTTTAATAGTATAGCATTAATTCACATTTCTCTGGACACTCACTTGTTTCAGGGTGGAGGTGTCTTATACAAGGTGCTTCATCAACTTTTTTGAATAATGCTTGGGATTGTGTTCTTTGGCAACTTTTTAGATTCCTTTACGTAGTGTTTGTAAAGTGATAATTTTTTTTAACTCTTGATGATGGCATTTTTTAAATACTGAACCGTGGATACAGTAAGAAATTAGGCTGTTTAGTAAACAATAACATACTTGACCAATGTGTAAAAAAGTTATATAGTCTTTATTAAAAGAATCTAGATCTTTTTTCTGCTAAAAATCCTATTTTCAGTATGTTATTAGTTCAAACCCATTATAAAAACAACTCTAAGAAATAAACTTTTAGCATGTTCTGGACCCTTGAATTTTAAAGTGTGTGTGGCTTAAAATTATATCTTCTGTTGCAAAATACTGTTTAAGACCTAATATCAAAAAACAAAAAACCCCAAACTCCTGTGGTTGTATCAAGAACCTAGGCCATGAAAATAGAGAACACATGAAAACTCACAAAATTTAAGTATGAAAGATGTAGGTTAAGCTCTCAGTCGTCATTAAGCCTCCCTTCATCTCAGGAACTGAAGGCAGGTTACAAGGGTACACAATACAACATGACAGGAAGTAAATTTAGCAAAAGAAGACAGCAAGGATGGGACAGGCTAAGGCTGAACTGTAAAATGCAAATGCCCACACCCAGAACTCATTCACCTCTGGTTGCTTTTGATTCTGCACAGCTGGGATGGTATCTGGGGCTCTGGGCCTCTGTCCTTTCTCAAAGTCCTTCAGGTGACTTGATGGGCAGTGAGAATCACTTCTCCAAATGGCCAATATTCACAAAAATAAAACAGAAGAAAGTTACTCGATCTGGAATCACATTAAAGGCTCAGGAAAAAAAAAAGTATTCTTGGTTCTAAGATCAGACAGATTTTGTCAAAAGTACTCTGTTAACACCTGGATCACTTTATGATGTATATATTATATATAGGATATAATGTCCTAGATAGCGTCCTTTTAAAACCTGTATGTAAGTTTCATGGGTTTTTTTCTTATAAGCATATTCAATGAGCAAAGACAGCATACCAAACCACAATAATGTAAAATAAATATTTTGTGTATACTGTAGTTAAGAGCCTGTAAACATTCATTATTCCATTTAAAAACTGCTTTTAAAAAGCTGTATACCCTACTGATTCTCCTAAAAGCCTGTTGCTACAATTCTTGATTTTGATAAATATGAGCTGGACAATAAACAAGCCTATTACTCCAAGTTCTAGACTGCCCTTGATCTGTTCAGTTTGCTTTAGTCTTCCCTATTTGCTGTCATTCGACAGCAGTTGAATGTATGTTGCTTTGCTAGCTGTCAAAGTGGACTGCATCCCCCAACAGTTATCTGTAATGAAAGAATACAAAGACGATATTTTAATTTTTTACAGACTCGTTTTTAGATTGATAAAAAGGAGTTCAAACAGCATTAACTCCACTCTCATTGTTACAGTCTGTCACCTGAGGCATTCGATACTCTTTAGAGTCTAATCACAGCTCAAAGGACACCTAACCACCCTAGGTGCATATTTACCAACTAGCATAAACAGGTCTGGCCCTCAAAGTGGCTTTTTTTTCAATGTTTATTTTTCAGAGGGGGGGAGAGAGAGAATGAGCAGGGGAGGGGCAGAGAGAGAGAGAGAGAGAGCGAGCGAGCGAGGGAAACACAGAATCTGAAGCAGGCTCCAGGCTCTGAGCTGTCAGCACAGAGCCCGTGCAGGGCTTGAACTCACAAACTGTGAGATCATGACCTGAGTTGAAGTCAGATGCTTAACCAACTGAGCCACCCAGGTGCCACAAGAGAGGCCTTTATATGTATTGATGTTCAAAAATCCCCAAACTGCAGGCATCCTTCGCATTAGTTCATATATTACATACCTACTATGTTACAAATTTTTATACAAAATTCTGTTGTATTGGGCGGGGGAATACTACCTTTTTGATGAAATACTAAAGATGTTTGCAAGATTAAACTAGAAAATAATATTAACGTTAAATTTGACACCCTCTTGCTGAGGTAAGTTTTTAAAAATCTTCACAGTGGCATTTTTTAGTATTTGACCAGGGATGTAGAGAGATTATGCTGTTTAGCAAAAATAATGTACTTGACCAATGTGTAAAGTACATATTGAAATAGAGCTATTCTCAAAGTCTACGGACTATGTAAAACCCAGATTACCGACTTAAGCTGCGCTAATAACTCAATTCTCCTGGCAATCTTCAGTTCTTAGCTGAGGGTAAAGTAAGATAGGTGGCCAGGAAGCGGGCCCAGTCATCGCTGGGAGAGTTGAGAGATGGAGATGGGATAGGGAATGACAAAGCCATGATGAGCTAAGGCAGCCTACACAGAGACAAACGGACACACTCCATGGCTGCATGAAGACACCGAAGTGCATGACGAGAGTAAACTTGACCACAGTGGACTCTCCTTAAAAACTATTTTTGGGTACTCCCACTTGCAGAAACATATCGAATCCAATGCACAACAAATTATTAACTAAGGTAGGTGTCCTCGGGCTTCTCCGCTAGGCACCACGCACGTTGGCTAGCTGGTTCCTATCTAAGCCTGTGAACCACCAACTTTTTCACTGTCCCCTGAATCAAACTGACCTCTTTATTTGAAATCAGTGATACTTGCCATGTGTTCATCGATGAGATCCCATTCCAAAATTAACACTTTAAAACTTTTTGGGAGGTTTCAATATGAAAATGAAATTAAACTGACAAAAGATTAAAAACTAAACAGAAATACATGTGTATTCATTCGTCCTGATGGTCAATAAAAATGTTAATGTAGAAGTTGGCACCTGTATAGTAAATGTCAGAATATGTGTAGAGAAGAGTGCACGGTTGTGAAGAGTATACTTTACAAAACCCAAAGATGACCTTGGAGCTGTGGTCCGAATCTGTGTTCCTCTAGCCACATGGGCCAGCATCCAGGTCCTTTCCACAGCTGGCGGGGCTGGATGCACCACCGCCTTCCTCTGGGCTGCCTCTGGCCTCGGTCCTGAGCTGGCCCTTTTCCTCCGCAGATGTACCTTCCGCCTTCTCTGATGTCTCTGCACCAGCGACAGGCTTAGTGGACTGGCTGCTTTCAGTGCTGCTTTCTGGCAGTGTGCTTTCTCCTGGGATTCCAATCTCTTTGGGCTTTGCATCCAAAACAGGAAATTTATGCTGTAGAGAATTACATTTTAATTGTTTAATTAATGCAATCAAACATGTTTAACAAGTTCCTATGCAAATCTGTTGTATCAAACTTGGAACTCTTTCAAATCTCAGCTCCAGTGCTGTACTGTAAGGATACAGATGTTATTAAGCCTCACAGAACTATACACGGAGGAATGGGGCAGGGGCACGGAGGATACGGCAGGTGGTCTAGTGACCCAGGTTTAGGAAGGGACAAGAGGACTGGTAAACAGTACTGCTAACTCCTCTTGCCTGGTGAGAGTAATTCATTTGAATTATTTATTAAGTCTGTATTAAGTTCTATGTGCTGGGGATACAGCAGGAACAAAACCGACAAAACCCGCGCCCTCACTGGAACTTCCAATTAGCTTGGGGGAAAGAAGCAACAAATTAACAAACTACACACTGGGTTTACATCAGGTGATACAGGAGTAAAGGCCTGAAGAAATGAACCATGTGAATATACGGGAATGGCATTCTAGACAGGGAACAGCAAGTACAAAGGTTGTAAGTTCACGGAATAGTGAGGAGGCTCCTGTGGCTGAAGGAGAGTAAGCACAGCAGGAGAGCAGGAGGAGAAGAGATCCATGTGCCAACGGAGCCGGGCTGTGGGCAGATCAAGGGAGCCCCGGGTCACCATGATAACTAGCTTTCCCTTTAAGTGAGATGGGAAGTCACTTGAGGCTTGGGATGAACGGTATCTTACCATTACCTATTAAAGCTGAAAGGCACATCTGAAAATTTTCTAGATGTACGCAGGTATGTTTATTCTTCTTATAAGAAACTCCATGGAAGGGATTCTATAATTTCCTAGATTCTGCACTCACAGCTATTTCTCAAAGGTTTACAGTTGCAACTTGAACTTTGCAAATGACACTATAAATTCCTCTCACAAACAGAAATGGCAATGTCTCTTCAAATGGCCCATAATGTAGAGAAAACACCTCAACATTCGGCAGGTAGAAAGTAGACTCTAGCCAGCCAATGATACCAAAGACTTGGGAAAGTGTGGTGTGGCCCCTCCCTGCCCACTCTTCCGCCCAGCTGAGCCTTTAGGGCTCTCCTGCGGGCTCCCCAGGGCTCCAGGCCTTCAGTGGGGACTTCTCTCTGAGCTCTTTACGGGTAGAAATTTTAGTCATGCTCGCTCGGTTTCCTAATGAAATTTCCTATGAACTACCACCTGTTCTAACTTGTTAAATAGTACTTTACATAAAAATCAAATCTAGCTTTATTTCTTCCGAGAAGGCCAAACTTTTGACTAGAAAGGAGGAGAGAGTAAACAATTCTATCAATAACGATATAATTAACTGTGAAAGTTAAGAGAGGAAAAAACGCTTAACCAGAAGCTCTGCAGGAAGCACTCAGGCCTAGCATGACAGGACGGCAAAATGAACAGTTGCTGACTTACACTGGGTACCGCCTTGGGATGCTCTCTCGCCTCTGCGTCTGGTAAATCACATGCCCGGAGCACTTCGGGGCTCTTGTTGCCAGTCTTAAGTCTCAAGTCAACATCTGTCTGTCTCAAAACATCTCTTCTACCCTCATATGTTTTGTCATAAGGGCCTTGCTCAACGGGGCCGATCGGGCCTCTATAATAGAAATCTGTATCACCTGCTCCACCATGGGGTCTATAATCAACTTCCTTCTGCCGTCCTCTGTCACCTGGCTCAAGTGCCCGGGGTGGTTCTCTCTCGGGACCACTTATTTGTCTCAGCATATTAACTGATTTTCCAGCACCATAGCAGAAACTCTAGAAGGAAAAGAAATACATAGTCCTGAGTATTTAATGGCTGACTCACAATGAAATTATTCAGGATGCTAACAAAATTACCTAACTTGACTTGTGGCATTTGGAGACGTATTCATTTCACTATTGTTTCATTAGAGATCTCTTCTTTAGATTAATACTGGGCCAGAATAGCCAATAAAATGTGAGAAATCACATTTAAGTAGACATTTTAATCAGCTGAACACATTCTGAATGAATTGTCCCAAGGGAAGTTTGGCTAAAGTCTAGAAACTTAAATTGGAAGGTACTAACTGATAACTGCTCATCAGTGGTCTATTTTCACACCCACCATATAAGGTAATTGCTAAAAGTCAGAATTGCACATCATTATGGAAACATTCTCAGGTAGGGTAAGTTTCCAACAGGCTTTGAGTCCCATTTCATGAGAAAACCTAGGCAGCATTTCTCAATGTGTGGCCCAGGGACCCCGAGGGGGATCCCTGAGACAGTTTCAGGGATTCTGTGAGGTCAAACTTTTTTCTACTTCAAAGACCTTAGCCTTTCTCACTCTTCCCTTCTGAGTGTGGAATCTTCTGGGGCTGGAATGACTTCCTCACTCTGACAGCTCATGGACAGTGTGCCCGTGTAGACGTGAATTTTAAATTTTTCTTAGTTTTAATTCCTAATATGGTAAACTATCAATGAACAAAACCACCATAAATAGGAGCTCTTCGTGGTCCTCCGTTTTTGTTTGTTTTGTGGGCTTTGGTTCTTAAGAGTACAAAAAGGTCCTGAGAATAAGAAATTTGAAAATCACTGAGCTAGAGAAACTATTTGAAGACAGAAGCAGTAAAAGCCCTTTCCGCAGGCAGATGAATCAAGAGATGATGGGCTTTTGTCAGACACTAGATTATAGGGAGTCCACCCCTTACAATGGTTCAACTTACAACTGTTAGACTTCACAATGGTGAGAAAGTGATACACATTCTGCAGAAACTGTACTTCAAATTTAGAATTTGGATCTTTTCCTGGGCTAACGATTTCAGGTACGCTCCTCTCTGGTGATGCCGGGCAGGGCAGCTCCCGGTCAGCCGCGCGGTCACAAGGATGAACAACCCCTTCACCTCAATCACTCCTTACCCGCACAGCCATTCTGTTTCTCACTTTCAGTACAATATTCAATAAACTGTGCAAGATATTTGACACTTTACTATAAAATGGGCTTTGTGTTAGATGATTTTGCCCAACTGCAGGCTAACGTAAGCATTCTGATCACATTTAAGGCAGGCTAGGCTAAGCTATGACGTCCTGTAGGCTAGGTATCGTAAATGCACTTTTGACGTATGGTATTTTCAACTTACAATGGGTTTATCGGGATGTAACCCCGTAAGTCAAGGGAAATCTGCACTACTACACAATGTCACCTAACAAAATTATCCCCGTAAACCTGACTCCTAAAATCACAAGCCCAAAAAACAAAAACAAAACAGGAACAATTTCAAAATGAATAAAGCATAGTAAATTTTGTAGCCTTAGGGAAGATAATCCTTTTTAATTTAATAATTAAAATTGGAAGGTACTAATCGTCTGATAATTGCTCACGTGTTGTGTATATTCACACCCAACATAGAAAGTCAATGCTGCAAATTATTTAAAGTTGTACACTTTAAATAGCTTAATTTCTTTACAGATACAAACTTGGCTTTTCCCATGGCACATCTGGGTTCTTTGTATTTTGTTTTATGTGACAACTACTTCATTAGGGTAAGGGCTGAAAATCAACAATAAGAAAGCTGAAGAGGCCGTGGATGAATGACGAATAATGTTTCTACATAATCAATGTCTGTTCCTGGATCCCCAAACTGTTTCCCAGTACAACACCTTCTTCTACATCCCTGCCTGATTCTGCGCTTAAGCCAATGCCCTTCCCTTCTCAGGGCTGCAAAAACTCAGACTGAAACAAGGCCCCCTTTCTCAAAGAGGACAAAACAACTGATTTCATCTGTATTACTTCAACAAGTTAAAGAACAAATTTAAAAGGGTGTTATTACTCGAAGTCCCTGCCATGACACCCACAATCAAACTTGAGAATCATCTCCTTGCTTATACACGTAAGAATACACACGTAAATATAAATAAATCCGCATCACTTTAAAATCATCTTTTCATACCATTAAGCATGATTTAGCCTGATTTACCACAGCAAAAAAAGTCTGCAATTTTAGAACTGCCTTTTTCCTGCAAGTCGTGTTAACAGTCAACAGTGCCGTGTACTAACCAGGACAGCCAGTGCCATAATTATCAGCACGGGAATGTGAAGTAATACTGGCATCTCCTTCATGAGCGCTTTAATAAATTCACCAGCTCCTTTTCCAATGTGTTTCAATGGCTCCGTGACAAAGTTGGTGAACGTAACTGCCAGTGCCTAAAACAAGACATAATAGCAACTTAATTTTTCCCTCAAATGGTTGAGTACACAGAACAAGCCAAAATTCGCTGTGCACTGGGATGAAATTATGTTCATAAACTGAAATGCGTTTAATGTGAAAATCATTTGTAACGGAAGTATTTTTTCTAGAGCAAAGGTTTATTATTAGCAAAATGACGGTAAAAACACTAACTTTTAATAAATACAAGGGATTTTTGACTTTGTAGAAGTAATTTTGACAAAATGTGTTCTATACCTTTGTTGGTGGGACCAACCAAATAGGGTTGACTAACAAGAGCTCATAGTATTTTTGGCATGGGTCATCCTTATAGGTCCATGAACTTCTAAACACTTCTATTTAGAGAAACAGACAAAACACTGAGTCATTAAAAAAAAAAGTTGCATTTCATTCCCAAAGAAGACATTTTGGTTTTGTCCCTGTCCCTGCCGCCAACCAATTTTAACTGCTGTACAAATAGACTCCCTATAACACTGATTTAAAAAGTTTTCACCTTATGCCCAAAATGTTTAAAAATCCCCTCAAATTATACAAGTCTTATGCAGATAAAACATACTTTATGAAAATTTCTAAACAGTAAACATTAAAAACTGTTCTTTATACATACAAATGAATCCAAGGAAAACGGGAAATCAGAGATCGCTGGATTATGTGGAAGTTAATATCTTGGCTGTGATGCTGTGTTGCTATAGTTGTGGAAGATGGTTCCACTGGGGATAATGGGGAAAGGGGGCACAGGATCTGTTTTACTTCTTACAACTACGTGTGCATCTAAAATTATCTCAATAAAATTTCAAGTTTTATTTATTTTGAAAGAGATAGCATAAGTGGGAGTGGGGCAGAGAGAGAGAGAGAGACAGAGAGAGAAAGAGAGAGAGAATCCCAAGCAGGTTCTGGAGAGGTAGAGAGAGAGAATCTCAAGCAGGCTCCAAGCTGCTAGTGCACAGCCTGCTTGGGATTCTCTCTCTCTGCCTCTCTCTGCCCCTTCTCCACTTGTTTGCTCTCTCTCTCTCTCTCCCTCAAAATAAACAAACATTAAAAAAAGAAACCAATTCTTACTTTACAAAATAAAGAACGTTAGTTCTCCCAATTTTTCTAAATGTATGTACACAGTACATTGCATACTAGCCTGGGCTAGAGGATATATTCACTTGTCTCCTGCAGCCAGGAAGCAAGGCTGGATTGGTTTAGTTCCCATAACTTTTGAAGAAACGCTAATTTGGACACCCTGTTTTGTATAATCTGCCGAGAGTCTATTCTGGGTCAGCTATTACAGACGTGCATTTATAAAGTGCCTTTGAACACTAAACCATTCCTATTGCTAGATATACAGAAGTAAAGACAGTCACATTAGTGAGAATATTTATAAAGTCTGTGAGATTAAAAAAAAAGTCAATTTTCCTCTTATTTAAAAAATGTATAGTAAAGTTACAATATAAGGTTTCATAAGTCATTATCAGGAGATTAAGTCTAAGCTGGATATTAATATATAAACACGATTCACTTCTTTAATAAACATGCCGAACCCTCTTCCTAAGGACTAGATGAACGACATGAGCACAGGCTCCATCATGGTCCAATGGAGAAGACAGGTGACACTGGAGCCGGCAAAGACAGTTCCTATTCCTTCCCTGTGATGTTACATGAGCACAGGTGTCACGGTCTGAAACCCGACGCTTCTGGCATGTTCTTCTGATACTGAAGATTCATTTGGTCATGGGAAGCGTCTTTCCGGCATTTTATCATTTCTCTGTAATTACTAATATGTTCTCTCCTCCTCGGAAATTCTACTAAAAATAAGGCCCAATGAACCAACACCTTACCCCAGAGACTTCCAATCCAGTCCATCTTCTCAGCACACACGTTGTTTAACGGCTCCATCTTGGCAACCTCGGCCTGATGCTGTGCGAAGGCTAGCTGACCAACACCAAGAGGGAGCTGTGAGCGGCCACTAACAGCAGGTTATGTCTACATATCCAAAACCTTACTTCAAAGAGTGTCTGTACCAGACCCCAGACTGTTCACATTTTTTTCGATACAAAAAAAAAACGTATTATTTTAAAATAGTAGCTCTTTTCAGTTCATGGCAAAGCACAGTCTCTTTTTCTTTTTAATTAAATTTTTTTTTTAACATTTATTTATTTTTGAGAGAGACAGAGAAAGACAGAGCATGAGCAGGTGAGGGGCAGACAGAGAGGGAGACACAGAATCTGAAGCGGGCTCCAGGCTCTGAGCTGTCAGCACAGAGCTGGAAGTGGGGCTCGAACCCACGAACTGTGATATCGTGACCTGAGCTGAAGATGGACGCTTAACTGAGTCACCCAGGTGCCCTCAAAGCACAGTCTTAATACAACAAGTGAGGATAAAGAATTATAGTTGCCTTCTTTGTACATACTTTTGATGAGAAAGGAAAACCTTTGTACTAAAAAGATTGTTTTAAAAAATTAATTCAAGGGGCACCTGAGTGGCTCAGTCGGTTAAGCGTCCAACTTCAGCTCAGGTCATGATCTCACGGTTCGTGAGTTCGAACCCCATGTCGGGCTCTGCTGACAGCTCAGAGCCTGGACCCTGCTTCCAATTCTGTGTCTCCCTCTCTCTGTGCCCCTCCCCCACCTCTCTGTCTCAAAAATAAATATTAAAAAAATTTTTTTAAATATCAGTTCAAATATAATTCACAGCACATCCCAAAATATATACATTAAATAACTACTTCTCATTTTCTTTTTACAATTCACAATAAAGTGTTTTACTCTGGATGATTTTCAGCACAAATGGTCCATATAAAGATACTATATCTTTTATATATAAAAGCCCTGGGGGGAATCACCAAGATAACAATATTCAACCAAACTTTCTTCCTTTAATCTGTGAAGAATTAGTTCTAGAAGCTGCAGAACTTAGAGCAAAAAGTTAAGGATGTATCACAGGGACTTAAATCAGATAAATGCATCAAAAACACTTTGCTACCTGACTCACCCTGTGAAAACGATCTGAAATTGCCCTTCATTGGTTATGCTATTTTGGCAAGAAGAATAGTGCTTCATTTGACTTTCTGTATTCAGTATGATCCCAATTTTGAAAGAACTGAAATTTATTTAAAAAAAATTTTTTTTGTTTTATTTTTGTTGATGGTGTGTCTACCATCAACATATCGCTTTCATATTCAGAAAATAACCGAACTTTTAAAAAATAATCTTTTGACATCTTTTCTGGCAAAGAATAAAAGGACATACCCTAAATTACCTACATAAAATTTTAAACAATCTATCTACCTAGCTTTATTCTGATTTAGCTGCCCAGCTGCCACCGTCAGGAACCGGGCTGTGAGGACGAGGACCACGCCAGCTGGTCAAGGACCCAAAACACCAGGTGCAGGTGAGCAGCTGCCAGTTTCCTCCCCCGCCTCATCTCCAACCACTGCCTCCAGCCCTCAGGAAGGCTATGTATCAGCTCTTGATGCACGGTCTTCTTCTTCTATTATGAAATGACATTTGAATGTTTTAAAGCCTCCCGCGTATTTAATACCTTATATAAATACATCCAATTCCATCCCAAACTGACAAGAAAACTGATGAATAAAACCCGTCTCAGCTGGGTGTACCAATGCACATAGGTCCACAGCTCGGTAGCCACCAGTGCCACGATGCAGAGCAGACACAGAAGCACCTCAAAAACAGGAAGAAGGGGAAAGCAAAGTTACTGCCACACCATCCTCCCCACCAGAAAATGGGAACTGTCAACAGAGACCAAAGAACCGGACTCCTAGGCCGAATCGTGTGTACTCTTCTGCCGCACGCTCCTCAGTACGGCAGGAGGGTCTCCATACAGGCTCCTAACAATCATGGTGGAGATTTTAAGGCATTTTTAAAGCTGAGCTGTTACTTACGTCCCCCTCATCCCATCTTACCATCAACACATTATACGGATCCACTCCAAAAGAGTCTTCAAATCGCCACTTCCATGTTTCAAAATCATGAAGCTTAAAATTAATTAAAATATCACTTAGTGCATCATCCAAGGCTCCTGGCTTCCAATCCTCTCCACTGAGAAACTTCTGTATTTCTAACAAGGTTTGTCTTCTTAGGATAATCTCAGCATCATAATGCATATCACCTTTGTTTTCTTCAGGCTGAATTAAATTTGCCAAAAACAAACAATAGAAGAAAGAAACATTTTAAGACAACAGCCAGTCTGGAACTAAATATGTATGTGATTCTTATTTCACATGTATAAAATAAGGATAATACTATCCACCTATTTTTCTCACATACAAACCAGAGATTTTGTTCTATAAAGTCACCTCGGACGCTAGTCAACAAATACTGAACCATGGATCCTACAGGAAATACACGGTCAGGTTCCAAACACATTTTCATCAGCCTGTCAATGCATAGCCCTTTAATGTGTGTTTCTACTTAAAGGTACCTCATTTAATGTTGTTGATTAACACTTAACTCACAGCCAACAGCACTGTAACTCATGCCCAAATGAAGCTTATCTCACACGCATATTTTTCTCTGTAAGGCACATCCCAGCCTTCATGTGTTCGGAGGCACTGGACAGGATTTTTCTTGGGAATTTTTTTTGAGAGTGCATGAGTAGGGGAGAGGGGCAGAGGGAGAGAGGGAGAAATCTAAAGCAGGCTACATGTGATCTCGCAGTCTGTGAGTTCGAGCCCGTCAGGCTCTGTGCTGACAGCTCAGAGCCTGGAGCCTGCTTCGGATTCTGTGCCTCCCTCTCTCTCTGCCCCTCCCCCGCTCATGCTCTGTCTCTCTGTCAAAAATAAATAAACATTAAAAAAAAAAAATTAAAGCAGGCTACACGCTCAGCATGGAGCCTGATACGGGGTTCGATCCCACAACCCCATGAGATCATAACCTGAACCAACATCAAGAACTGGACACTTAACTGAGCTACCCAGGTGCCCCTAATCTTGGGCATTGTTTTAAACAGCCAAATAACATCAGCGTAAGTGTGAAATATGTGGCACTAAATAAAGCATGAAAAAGTAATTGTTTATAGTCTGAGAACTGAAACAAGGCAAAACACAGCATTGCGCAGCCTCAGCTGGGAATGGGTGCACCAGACAATTCAAATGCTGTGCTGCTCTGTGCATGTCTGAGTGACACAAAAGCTCTGCAAGGATTAACTCTGGGGTCACAAAAGAAGTTCAGTGTGTACACAAATTCGCAAATATGGAATCCACAAATAACGAACATGAGCTGTTTACTTTAGGATTCATTTATGACTTTCCATCTGACTGAATTTTCAAAAGTCCTAAAATATGCAGTAATACAAAAGAGAAAAAGAATCTCGAAAAACAGCCCAACTGGAGTTTCTATGAACATGCATATTTTTTTTTAATTTTTTTTTTAATGTTTATTTATTTCTGAGACAGAGAGAGACAGAGCATGAGTGGGGAAGGGGCAGAGAGAGAGGCAGACACAGAATCCGAAGCAGGCTCCAGGCTCTGAGCTGTCAGCACAGAGCCCAACACGGGGCTCGAACTCACAAACCATGAGATTATGATCTGAGCAGAAGTCGGCCGCTCAACCGACTGAGCCACCCAGGCGTCCCTGAACATACATATTTATAACTATTTTTATTAGCATGTATTCAGGTTAGCAAAATCATTACAAACATTTTACTTTCATTAACCAGTTAACACAAATAGAATATTCTTTTTTTCTAAGAATACAGATATTTATATAAAAAGCAAATATAAAATCAGAAGAAAACAAAGTGTCATGTAGTATCACAAGTCGTCACTGAGCTAAAAAAGCAGTCATCGATTACTATTTTTAAAAAACACTACATTAAATATTTCCATCGTAGGTATTTTCTGCCTTCATCTGTGTCCTCACCCCACACACTTGTAAGACTTGAATTAAATGGTGCGTGTATGAGAACATCTGTTTTTTCACTTCCAAAATAAGGTGGGATGATTAAATATTCATCTAACATTCCTTTCCCCTTAAAACTTTTCTTGATGTTTAGGGGCACCTGGGTGGCTCAGTCGGTTAAGTGTCCAACTTCAGTTCAGGTCATGATCTTGCAGTCCATGACTTCAAGCCCCGTGTTGGACTCTGTGCTGACAGCTCAGAGCCTGGAGCCTGCTTCGGATCCTGTGTCTCCCCCTCTCTCTACCCCTCCCATGCTCACTCTCTGTCTCTCTTGAATGAAAGAAAAACATTAAAAAAAAAATTCACTTTTCTTGATGTTTTGAATCTCCAGAGTGAAAACAATGACTCTAAAAACTGGAATCCTAACATTAATTATGAACAATATGCACATGATATGCAATTCTACAAAGTAGTACTTGACATAGTAAAAAGCTTCCGCAATGGGGGGAAACTACTTAAAAAACATTGTTGTCTTTCTCAACACAGAATGATCTTACATCACAAGAATGAGAAAGTGTGTAAGTGGTAGAAAATAAGGGCCAGCATAGAATTTCCTTGCCAAGTCATTTCCAACCATTTAGTAAAGTTCAAATAGCAAATTTAAAGCACCTCCTCCCATGTGAAATTAATAAATAATGAAAAGATCCACCACACTGATGAATATCACATCAATACTCACAAGTCCGAGCTTCCTGGCTTCAATTAAAATTTTATTTAAGTATCTCCTAAAAACAGGATTGCTTTGACTTTCATAGTCTTCCCTCTTTTTCTTTTCACACTCACTGATCTGTAATCACAGAATAAATTCAACATTAGTTAGCATCAAAGTTTAATGTAAGGGTCAAGTTTCTAGCCTAGAGATCCCATCAAGATCAAGGTAGGAGCTTGTGATTATCAACTATATGAAAATGTAGAACTTCCTACTTTCCGTGGGTTCTCTTTGCAAAGGGCAGGAAGGCAACAAATGAGGAACACGCGTTCAGCACTTGGCTCTGGCAATTTTAAAGCTAAAAATCATGAAGCAAGGAGGCAGAGATGTGGATGAGCAGAACATCTAGGACCATCTGCCTCTTCCCAATTCCAAAGTAATGATTCAATGAACAAAGGAACAAAAGAAGAAAGGAAGAGAATAAGAAACAGAGAGATAGAAAGAGAAACACACAAGAGGAAGCCAGAAGCTGAAATGAAGGGCCCAGCAAGGAGTTTCTTGAATGTGCATATTACTTTTGGCCTTTGATCAATTTTTCCTGTAAATGGTCGATCATCCCCAACTCTATGTATGGGCTGCTTCAGAAGGGCAGGAACATGGCTTCTCCAGAGTGTCCTACACATTGCAACCCCTCAGCATGTAATTCATCATTCAGATTTCCTCTGAACCTAGCTCTACTGACACCACAGTGGTCAAGTTGCTAGGTGAGGGTAGTACCTATCTTACAGACATTAGAACCTGTGATAAGCAACTTTTATTTTCTAATTGAGTGTGGACCATGAGTTGAGTTAGCATGGAAACGGGCTTCAGATGATAAACAAAATAACCGAGCGTTACTCAGACTTAGGATAGAAGGACACTTGAGAAGTCATGTGGCAGCTTCCTCTGCTTGCAGGCAAGGTTTAAAAACCTTTCAAATTTCTCTTTAAGAGAATGTGTGGGGTTTTTTGTTTGTTTTTGTTTTATTTTGAGACAGGGAGCAAGAGCATGTGCATGAGTGGGAGAGGGGGAGAAGGAGAGAGAGAATTCCAAGCAGGCTCCACACTGTCAGCACAGAGCCTGACTTGGGGCTCCACCCCACAGACTGAGATCATGACCTGAGCCGAAACCAAGAGTCAGATACTTAACCAACTGAGCCATCCAGGCGTCCAAAAGGGAATGTTATAATTTTTTTAACGTTTATTTTTGTGAGAGAGAGAGAGAGAGAGAGAGAGAGAGAGCGCGCCAGAAAGAGGGAGACAGAGGATCTGAAGCAAGCGTTGTACAGTGAATACAGAGCCCGACGTGGGGTTTGAAGTCACGAACTGTGAGATCATGACCTGAGCCAAAGATGGCCACTTAACTGACTGAGCCACCCAAGCGCCCCAAAGACAATGTTTTTTAAAATAAGAACTCAAGGGGCACCTGGGTGGCTCAGTTGGTTGAGCGTCCGACTTGGGCTCAGGTTATGATCTCACGGTCTGTGAGTTCGAGCCCCACGTCGGGCTCTGTGCTGACAGCTCAGAGCCTGGAGCCTGCTTTGGATTCTGTGTTTCCCTCTCTGCCCCTCCCCTGCTCATGTTCTGCCTCTCTCTCTGTCAAAAATAAATAAACATTAAAAAAAATAAATAAATAAAAATTAAAAAAATAAGAACTCAAGACTCCATTTTGCCAATCATATTTTTACAATTTTGAGCCCATGTTGCAAAGAATGGAATAAAAAATTTCTGTAAAAAGGCATTTCTGCATTTCCTAGTGTGCAGCCAAAGAAACTCAATGATACTACAAAACACAACTAAACTGAGGCAAATCTTATCCAAGCATTACTTTACTGGCATTGGGTGAGACAGCATTCACAGCCGGTTAGCACCACAGCAGTGCTTACAGATCCATAATCGAGATCTCTGTGTCTCCATTCACAAGCTCTCCCAGTGTCTCAAGCTGGAAACCTCTGTCCTTCACTCCATCCCTTTCCCTTCTCCCTCAGCTACCCAAATTTGCCTATTCCACGTTGAAGAAGTCCCACATTTCCCTCTTCAACCCTTGTCACTGCCTTGGTTGGAGCACTGAGCACTGCTGGGCCCCTGTCACCCCCTCTCCTTCCAAGGCCTCTCCATGGGGCCACCAGCTCATGGTCTCCACAGCCAAGAGGTTGGTTCCCACCCCACCCCACACATTCAAACCCTTAATAATAGTGACTTATTTCCTTTCTCATCATCTCTACTTCAGTCTCACAAATAAAAGGACTGAATAAATGAAGGAATAGCTACCACACACTAAATTATAATAATCCCTTATATTTGCAAGAGTAATTCTTATGCTCATCAGATGATCATAGGCCCATTTCTTCGTGGGCTACATTTGTCATGAGTCTATGACCAAGCACTGTGACAGGTGACAGAGAATCAAAAATGACTAAAACAGGGGTGCCTGGCTGGCTCAGTCAGTAGAGCATGGGACTCTTGATCTCGGGGTTGTAAGTTCAAGCCCCATATTGGGTGTAGAAATTACTTAAAAATAAAAAAATAATAATAGGGGCACCTGGGTAGTTCAGTCGGTTAAGCATCCAACTTCAGCTCAGGTCATGATCTCACGGTTCGTGGGTTTGAGCCACGCATCGGGCTCTGTGCTGACAGCTCAGAGCCTGGAGCCTGCTTCGGATTCTGTGTCTCCCTTGCTCTCTGCCCCTCCCCCACTCGCACTCTGTCTCTCAAAAATAAATAAAACATTAAAAATAATAAAATAAAATCTTAAAAAAGTAAATAAAACATTCTTGATCCCAAGAAATGTTCATCTCTGAGGGCTGATGGGGGGTGGGAGGGAGGGAAGGGTGGGTATTGAAGAGGGCATCTTTTGGGATGAGCACTGGGTGTTGCATGGAAACCAATTTGACAATAAATTTCATATATTTAAAAAAAAAAGAAATGTTCATCTCATAAAGAAATAATTACAACATGGTGAAATAAATGTTATTACAGGAAAATAAAAGTACTATTTTTATAAAAGTTCAGAATAACTAAAAAAAATTATATATCAATTGTACAGTACACAGAAGCATATATAATGTTAGCAAATATAGGAAACAGCAATTAAACATACTATGAATATAAAATTCATGAATTAAAAAAAATTCTAACCTTATGAGTTAAAGAATCAAGTTTGCTATAACATTCCGACAATTCATCAGCACATGACAAGTCAGGACTGACATCTTTTTTCTCTGATACATCATATTTCACCTAAAGCAAAACAGAGATTTTTATTTCCTTTATAAAACCTATAGTTAAGACTAAAACCTATAGTTAAGTTGTAAAACCTATAGTTAAGACTAAAATTTGACTTCATTTTATGACTTTGTTATATTCTTCAACTGTATTGAACCATCAAAAAAGAAAGAGTCTCAAATTTCTATACTAAGAGCTAAAATCAAATTAGTTGCTGCTCAATGGGCTTTACGTTCCAATTCAAAACAAAAATAACCAGGTGGGATTGAAATCATCTTAGATTAAGCAGGTCACGGAGATAATCTGCACGGCTACTAGTCACTGATACACAATTCTCACAGCTCTGTGAAAAACAGCAATCGAAGTGGACTATTTCCAGTACAGACCTGGGAAGGTCTTACATACACACACGCTTTTCTTTTTCTTTTAATACCTGAGATTTTCTCATTGTTCCTGAAGCAGCATCATAGTTAAGCATGTCTGTGGGATCAATCCAGTCATCATCAGAAGCATAACCAGTTATAAGCCACAGACATTCACAAAGGAGCAGAGAATACAGCATCCTGCATGAAGGCTAAAAAAAAAAAAAATTTAATAGATATAATGAAATAGAATTATTTTTAGAAGACATGGTTTTGTAATAAAGGCTATCTACTTCCTTCTAGTGTTAAGATAATGCTTTCTTTCTGAATAATAACTGAAATAAAAATACTCAGTAAAACGGTATTCACATATAAACATATACACACATATTTTTGCCAAGACAAAAAGAAAGTAAGAATTTTTCATAAGACTCAGAAGAATCCGATTCCCGGGTTTATATCCAAGGAATGAAAATACCTATCCACACAAAAACTGATACACAAATGTTTACAGCCACATTATTCACAATAGCCAAAAAGCAGAAACAATTCAAATGTCTATCAACTAATGGATAACTAAAACGTCGTCTAGCCATACAAAGGAATCTTATTAGGCCATGGAAGGAATCAAATACTGATAAGTGCTACAATATGGACGAATCTTGAAAACACTATGCTATGTGAAAGAAGTCAGTCACCCAGGACCATAATATGATTCCATTTACGTGAAATGGCCAGAACAGGAAAATCTAGAGAGACAGAAAGTAGATTAGTAGGTCCTCAGGGCTGAGGATATAAAGAGGGTTGGTAGTTAAAGGATACAGGGCTTCTTTCTAAGGTGATGAAAAATGATCGAAAACTCACTGTGGTAATGGTTGCAATTATCTGTGAATACATTAAAAACTGCTGAGTCATGCTCTTTAAATCGGTGAATTATATACAGTATGTGAATCATTTATCAGTAAAACTGCTTTAAAATAAACAGGTATTTAAGCAAACCCTCTCCCCCCAATTTTTTTAACACATGGAAAATTAGAAAGGTATAAAATTAAGATTCAAATGAGGTGACTGAACTCCCAAACCTTTCAGAGAAAGTAACCTGCTTCAGCTAAGCCTCAGCAGAAACACTGTCAAATCTTTTTTTTTTAAGTTTATTTATTTATTTTGAGAGAGGGAGGGTGTGTGTGGGGGGGGGGAGAGAGGGGGAGAGAGGGAGAGAGGGAGAGAGGGAGAGAGGGAGAGAGAGAGAGAGAGAGAGAGAGAGAGAGAGAGAGAGAATCCCAAGCAGGCTCCACAGCAACAGCGCAGAGCCCAATGTGGGACTCAAACCCACAAACCTTGAGATCAGGACCTGAGCCAAAATCAAGAGTTGGATGCTCAACCGACTGAGCCACCCAGGTGCCCCAAATCATTTCAATACTTAATACCTCTTCTATTCAACACTGTCCAATACATAAACAACCAAGCACATGTGGCTATTTAAATTTAAATTACATTAATTAAAAATTCAGTTACTCAATCATGCTAGCAGCATTTCAAGTGTTCACACACCACACGGGGCCTGTGCCTGACAGTACAGACATAGAACAATTCCATCACTGCAGAAAGTTCTGTTGGACACCTTATCTTATACCTACTATGAATAAAAATCAAATAAGAGAATTCTAAGATGAGAAAGCCCTGGGTTTATAGTCTACCTGTAGAAATAAAGTAGCTCCAGGCTAAATTAAACACTTCTTTGTGCTCCCCGAGTGGTCTCTTTATTCTTCCAGCACAACACACAACAAAATTAGCCACTTATTGGCCAATCTCTTCCACTGGCACAGTGGCTGCCCATCTTGGCTGTGTGTTAAGAATCACCTGACAAGCTTCTAAAAATCCCAATCTTCTGGCCACATCTCAGGCCAATTAAATCAGAATCTCTTACATGTGGGACCCAGGCACTGGAATTTTAAAGCGCCTCAGGTGGTTTCAATACGCAGCCAGGATAGAAAACCACTGTGCTATAAAGTGAACTTTTCCAGGGGAAGGTATCAGAATTCACCTTCCTGATGGCTCTCCATCTTGTCCCCTCCACCTCTCCAAGCCCAAGGCCTAGCCCAGTGGCTGGTGCATGAGATACCCAGTAAGTGTTAAGCTGCAAATGGTCAAAGCCATACAGGGATTCACAAGGTTTTAGAGGTTTAGAGGCTTCAGAGGCCAGTCTCTGACTGGAAGACACGGGCACGATTTCATGGAGGAATGGGGTGTGGGAAATAGACCGGGAAGTGTGCAAGGTAAGGGAGGCAGAGGAGCAAAGTGAACCTTCGAAACCATCAGAGGATGGACATGGTGGGAGATAGACAGGAAGATGGCGGGATGGCAACGCTGTAGTGACAATGCTGGTGTGAAAGGTTATGGCCAGACTTCTCAGCTAATAGTTCTCAAAGGCATGGGAGCTACATTTGGGGAAGATGAAGGTAGCACTAAGTGTACAGAATGAGGGGGAAAAGCTGGATTCTGAGAGTCCTCCAAGGAGGCTGAAGCAGCAAAAGGATGCTGAATCACATTCTGAAGATTGGCTATACATACAGGCCTCAGCTACTGAACGCACAAAAGAGAAGAAAGATGGCAGGCATGACCAAGATTTCAAGGCTGACCAACTACAAAAACATGGTATTATTAACCTCAAAAAGAAATTGACAATGAGTACATGGTTTTGGGGGAAAGTCAGGCATTCGTTTGTACAGCATTTACTAAATACCTACTGGATACTGGGCACTGTCTTATGTGACAGGGATACCAAGACACTAGACCGGCCACGATTTGTTAAGAAGCTACATGGAGGGAGGAGCACACGGGGATGGGGGACAGGATGGGACAGTAACTTGACCAAAAAATAAATATCATTTCAGGTAGTGATATGTGCTGTGAAAAAAATAAAGGGGGTCAATGGTATGGATGAGTTAGGAAATGCTGAGTATGTTAGGGAAGGTCTCTGAAGAGATTAAAGATGGCCACAAATGCTGTCAAGTCCCCAGCGAGAGATGGAGTTTATTTTCCCTCCTCCCAAATCTGGGCTAACCTTGTGACCACTGTCAACCGAGAAGAGAGGAAGAACTGATACAAAAGCATTTATTTTGGGCTTAGAACTATAATTTGGGGAGAAGCCCAAATTGTGGCCCCACTGCAGGGAAAAAGGGTTTTTTATTTTTTTTTTTACGTTTATTTATTTTTGAGACAGAGAGAGACAGAGCATGAATGGGGGAGGGTCAGAGAGAGAGGGAGACACAGAATCCGAAACAGGCTCCAGGCTCTGAGCTGTCAGCACAGAGCCCGACGCGGGGCTCAAACTCACAAACCGTGAGATCATGATCTGAGCCGAAGTCAGAAGCCCACCCAACTGAGCCACCCAGGCACCCCGAAAAAGGGGTTTTTATAAGAAAAAGGAGGAAACAAAATACCTTACATCAGTTGTTTCCCAAGTATTGTAACTGGGAGATACTATTACAATTTATAATTCATTGGCTTTCTAGGTATATTGTATTAGTTGCTAGCAAAGTCCCTTTTGCAGAGTGACCAATTTTTGTTAAAAATACAGATACAGCAGTCAGGTGCTCAGTCATATGCCCTTGCCCAGTTCAACGGTGGAATGCAATTCCTGTTTCAAAAACAGAATGAATGGGGCACCAGGGTGGCTCTCAGTTGGTTGAGTATCTGACTCTTTGAGTTCAGCTCAGGTCATGATCCCAGACTTGAGCCCCAGACGGACCCTGCTTAAGATTCTCTCTCCACCCCAGTCCCTCTCCCCCGCACCCCTTGCATTCTCTCTAAACAATGAAGAAAATAAATAAATAAAAACAGGATGAAGTTTCAGTCACAAAATGAAGTCTCTTATGCACAAATGTTTTACACAGGTTCACAATATTTAGCCAAAATATTGTGGCAGAAGTGATGCTGTGTTGGTTCTGGGCCGGGCCTGGCCTGGCCTATATGACACCCAGCTGCTTCTACTTTATCACTTTGGAACACCTGCTCTTGGACCTCAGCTGCCATACTGTGAGAAGACCTAGCCACATGGAGAGGCCATGTGTTGGGACACGCTAAGCTCCCAGCTGGCAACCAACATCAATGGCCAGCCATGTGAATGAGCCGTCTTGGTAGTTCCAGTCCAATCCCACAGTATTGGACCTGTGACCCAGCCAACATCATGTGGAATAAAAGAGCTACACAGATGAGTCCAGTCAAGCCCCATAAGCCTACAGAATCATAAGAATAAAATGTTTAAATGCCTCTAAACTTTGAGGTGGTTTGTTACACAGCAGTAGATAACCACAACGACATTTAAGCAGAAAAATGGTAAGAAGCTAACCTTAGAAGACTTGGGAAAAGAACATCTAGAGAATGGGCATAGCAAGCGTAAAGATCACAGTGGGGAGAAAATTTGAAGCATTCAAAGAGCAGGAAGGTCAAGGTGCACAGTACACCGTACTCCAAAGCACTCTCTAGACTCCTACTTCTGGCCAAGATGAAGTAGCAGGGGACAAATGTACTCTCCTGCCTGAAAAACCAAAACCTCTGCACAAAATCTATGAGACAACAATTTTCAAGACATTGGATACTAGGTGAGCAAGGCTAATTGTCTTTGAAAAATGGGAAATGGGCGACTGGGTGGCTCAGTCAGTTAAGCGTCCAACTTTGGCTCAGGTCACGTTCTCAGAGTTTATGAGTTTGAGCCCGTGTTGGGCTCTGTGCTGACAGCTCAGAGCCTGGAGCCTACTTTGGATTCTGTGTCTCCCTCTCTCTGTCCCCCACCCCACCCCACTCTCTCTCAAAAATAAATAAAACATTTAAAAAACTTTTAATTAAAAAAAAAAAGAAAGAAAAATGGGAAACAAACACAGACAGTCCTTCCATTGCCCCAGCTTACTGTCTTAACAGTTTCCAGGCCATGAGCACAGGGAGGGGGATCTCAGGCAGAGCCCAGAAAACAGAGGAAACAGAGCTGAGTATCTGGGGGGACCAAGGCAGAGAAAGCTGCAGAGAGACAGAACCCCTTTATTATGTGCAGAGGGTCCCTGCCACATAATAAAGGATATCTGGTCTTTGACCACAGTTCCTCCAAATGCCGTAGAGATTTCCTGAGTGATGGCAGTGTCTGTGATGAGGTGCTAATGAGGTGACCAGGTTGGGCCCAAGGTAGCTTCAAGGTGGAGGATGG